TGTGAAGTCCTGCCTACACTGAGGGCAGCTGTAGATTGTCTTCTCATCCTCTTTATCCCAGTGGCTTTTAATACAGCTCATACAGTAACTGTGTCCACAGGGAACAGTCACCGGATCCTTCAGGAGATCCAGACAGATCGAACAAGAAATGGTCTCTCTGGTTGTCTGAGCTTTCTGGGCCATTTCAACTGTTTGAGGTTTCTCTCGTAGTCCTTCCAAGTCTTCTCTTGCTACTGCTTGTCATGTGTCGCTGCACTCAGTGATCACTCCTTTAAATCAGTGTGAGAGGGCGGGGACAGTGAAGCTCCTGATTGGTCTGGGTTATAAGTCTGAGGTGCCCCCATGAAGGAGGGGTTTTCTCTCTCAACAGGAGTGTCACTGCCCCTGTCATTAAGCAACATTTTGTAACACATTTTTAATTATACAACTACATGTGGAATAATTTCATTAACGTTGACTTTCACAGATGATAACTACGAGCCTCCAATGAATCTTTATCAACATCGTATTAAAAAAAACCATTAGAAGTGAAGTTGATGTTGTAGCATGCAAATGATCAAAGGAGACATCATTTCCAGTTAATGAAAGTGTAGCCGGTCTGTCCTGACACTCCGTATGCTACTATAATGTCTCTGCGTTGTGTTGTGCATGATGAGACGAGGACCAAAAACTTAAACTTGTAAAATAAAATACATTCAGCACAGCAACTTCATACGACTGGGCTTCAACATGCACACCTCTCCTCAGCGGGGTCTCAGGCCGTCTGACACAATGCATATGGGTGTGCTGTGACCTTCTTTTATAAACGAGAACAAAAACTAAATAAAAGTATAAATTGTATTTCAGCTTATTTCTTACTCAACAGTGGCAATTTTGTGTTTTTGTCAAAACCGAAAATGTACAGCTAAACTAATCTTCTTATACTGTACACTTCACGTTATATTAAAATAACAAAATAATTTGTGATCAAATATATCTGGAAACAACAAGAACAAAGAAAGAGCTCACATACCTGTGTAAAATAAAATACATTCAGTACAGCAACTTCATACGACTGGGCTTCAACATGCACACCTTTAAAGGGAAGGAGAAACCACACGGATGCTCTAGTTCGCCTGATTAGCATATACAAACTAAGTGCTGTACGACAAATAAAACTCTTCAAATACATTAACCAACAGTTAACATGTTATTAAAACATCTGTGAGCCTAACGAAGTATAGTTGAACCACTATTTAGCATGTTTTCCCCGTGTTTTAACACAGGGAAGCACACAACAGCACGCCCCCACAGAAGACCACCCCCCCTCCCCACGACCAGACCCTGTGCCTGACTGCAGCCAGCATGAAGAGAACCTTCTCCAAGATCAACACCCGCAAGGCTGCAGGTCCAGACAACATTCCTGGCCGTGTGCTGAAGGACTGTGCAGAGGAGCTCAAAGATGTCTTCACAGACATTTTCAACGCTGCTCTGAGTCAGGCTGTTGTTCCGTCGTGCTTCAAAGCCACCACCATCATACCCGTTCCAAAGAAGCCCTCACCATCCACTTTCAATGACTATCGACCCGTTGCACTGACCCCCATCGCCATGAAGTGCTTTGAAAGGTTAGTCATGGCCCACATCAGATCCACCCTCCCCGCCACCCTGGACCCCTACCAGTTTGCATACCGAGGTAACAGATCCACCGAGGATGCCATCTGTTCTGCGCTTCACCCAGCCCTCACCCACCTGGACAACAAAAACTCATACGTCAGAATGCTGTTCATAGACTTCAGTTCAGCATTCAACACCATCATCCCTCAGCAGCTGATCAGAAAACTGGACCAGCTGGGGCTCAGCACTTCCCTGTGCAACTGGCTGCTGGACTTCCTCAGCGAGAGGCCTCAGACAGCGCGGGTCGACGGCAGCACATCAAAAACCATCGTCATGAGCACTGGGGCCCCCCAGGGTTGTGTGCTCAGCCCCCTGCTCTTCACGCTGCTGACCCACGACTGTGCTCCATCCTTCAGCAGCAACCACATTGTGAAGTTCGCGGACGACACAACAGTGGTTGGTCTCATCTCCAACAACGATGAGACGCACTACAGGATGGAGGTCAGCCAACTGGCCACGTGGTGCAGAGACAACAACCTCTTCCTGAACGTCGACAAGACCAAGGAGGTTGTTGTCGACTTCCGGAGAGTCCCCACTCCTAAACCCCCACTGACCATCGACGGTGCTGCTGTGGAGTGAGTGAGCAGCACCAAGTTCCTGGGGGTTCACATCAGTGAGGATCTGTCCTGGACAACCAACACCACATCACTGGCCAAGAAGTCCCAGCAGCGTCTCTACTTCCTCCGCAAGCTGAGGAGAGCACGAGCCCCCCCCATCCATCATGTGCTCCTTCTACAGAGGCACCATCGAGAGCATCCGGACCAGCTGCATGACTGTGTGGCTTGGGAGCTGCACTGCTGCCAACCGCAAGACCCTGCAGCGCACAGTGAAGGCTGCTGAACGGATTATCGGTGTCCCACTTCCCTCTCTTCTGGACCTTTACGGTACCCGCCTCACCCGCAAAGCAACCAGCATTGTGCGTGACCCCACCCACCCCTCACACAGCCTCTTCAGCCTCCTGCCATCGGGAAGATGGTACCGCAGCCTGCGGGCCGGCTCCACCAGACTGGGAAACAGCTTCTTCCACCAAGCTGTCAGGAAGCTTAACTCTCTCCCCTCTCTTCCTTCCCTCCCCTCTGCCCCCACGAACACTGGACATTGAAACCCCCTCCCGTTTTCCACCAAGAACTCTGGACTAAAAACTCTGAAGCTAACATCTCAAAAGTACACTCAGTTTACTGCACATTGCACATACTGCACAAGTTCACTTTTTCTTTAAATTTTATTGTATTTTACTTCCTACCTTTTGCACAATCTAGGGTTTATACCTTTGCACAATTTAGAATTTATTACTGTAAATATTATTTATCTTATTTTTACCTCATTTTATTTATCTATTTTTACCTTATCTTATTTTACCTTATTTTGGTTGTATTGCACCAAAATAAAAAACGGAGACAAACGAAATTTCGATTCCACTGTATGTTTGGCATATTTTGAACTTGACAATAAAGTTGACTTTGACTTTGACTTTGACTAGCATGTTTTCCCCGTGTTTTAACACTTTATGAACTGGGGCACATGAAAACACTCGCCTCTCCTCAGCGGGGTCTCAGGCCGTCTGAGGAGAGAAGCGCAAATCTACAGGATGTGACATCATCACAGCAGACCGCCAAAACAAACTCCAAAATAAAATACAAAAGTGCGTACAAAAATATTCATATTTGAAAAATATGACAAAATGTAAATTTGACTTAAAGGACAGACTTTTGGTGAATTATAAATAATTTTGACAAAGCATTTTAACACACCTGTTACAAAAGCATCTCAATAACTGTCGTATCTGGTATATTACAACAATCGTGTGGTTGTAATATAACTGCAGAACACAACTGAGAGAGTTTAAAATATGCCTTCCAGTCGTTGTTCTGGACTCAACTTTATTTATAGAGCACTTCACACACAACACAGTTGATCCAAAGTGCTGAACAGATAGAAAGAACAAAGCATTAGAAAGTAACAGTTATGAACAGTGTAACATAAGACTAACAATTTATTGAAAATTGAACACAATTGAGTGTTAATATGTTTTGAGGCGAGTCTTTAAAACACTAATTGTGTGAGAGAGACGGATATTATGAAACGTAATCCTGGGAGCTCCTTACCTCTCTTAGGTTCCGCAGGATCGTTGGTGGACGGCCTGCCTGAACAACCAATCCCCCCACCACCTCATTGTTCCCTATCCCTCTTCCTGCATCTTATCCCATCTCCCCCTATCACATTTTCAAGCCCGCTCAGTTTTGGTCGATGGCTGTTCATCATGAGCCTGCAGCATTTGCCCAAGATTTCTGACTCTTAAAGGAAATTTTTTCTTGCCCCTGTAACTTTTGCTAAATGTTTCTAAAGTGCTCATGGTGGATTAACGTTAGGTCTTCGTAATATAGCAATAAGTAAGGTCTTTAAACTGCTTTTTTAAAAAGCACATTCACATTCGATGTTAGCGCTAGCCTCCTGGCTAAAATGATCTCCCTCCCCCTGACTCCCAAAAGCATTTGAAGCCGACTGAAATAAGTTTGATAAAAAGTTCTTGTTGGGGTCAAAAATGCCAGAGCCAGCTGCCTCTTTTTCTTCTTCTTTCTTTCCTGGCATGCTTACTCTGTGCAGATCCTGGAATGACTCTACTGATTACAACATAACAGTGAAGTTCACTGAGCCACGCTCATGTCCTAACATAACAGGAAAAAGGCTCATACCACTTTAAGAAACAGGTTTCATTTTACTGGAGCAACTTAAATAAAATGAGTGTTTTTGTTGCTTTAAGAAGCCATAGTGAATATTTAGCCGTAAAATGAAATTTGGTCACTTTTGCTTTAAATTAGGATGGACTATGTTTTTTTTTTGCTAACCTCCATGGACCCTGGGACTGGGCCCCCCTTATGGGCGGCCTTGCACATGCATGTGAGTGCTGTGACAAAGACAGACCACACTCGTTATTGATGATTGTGATGCAAACCCTCCTTGATGGACCCCAACAAGCTGTGGATGAAAGAGTGATTACTGCACCCTCTGAGACTGAAAAGACCCTGAGACTGGAAGAGTACAGCCGTTTGAAAACTTCAGCTTGTACAAAGGAAGCACCCTCCCCTCTCCTTATTCTAATTCTTCTTGTCTTGCAGTCTACACCTCAACAAATAAGCCATCAAATGAGCTTCAAGCAACAATAACTAACTATCCAGAAAGACAAGGCACAAAATGTCGCCCCTGAGAATCACTGTTAAATGATGAGAAGTTAATTTCTTATACTTAAAGTTAATGTGCCTGAAAAGTTATCTTTGAGTGAAATAGGTTTATTCATGCAGCTTTGAAAATCATTGTCAGGGAATCCATGATGGAAAAAAAGAGACACGTTTGAAATATACAATTCTTTATTCTGCAGTCAATCAGGCAACGAACTATAGAAGAACAGGTACAGCAGTTAGAAACAACTCAAAGAGACAAATGGCTCCTGCAGCATATTGTATACACAATATGCCATTTTGGTTTTGATTGAAAAAAAGAAAGAAAAACAAAGCCACCTGTGACAAGATATCACAAAATGCTTAATTTAAAGGGGACACAAGCTATCCCCCCCCCCCTTGATTTGGAGTCCAGAGAACTGAAAGCTGTTAGAGACACATCATGAACAAAACTGAATGCAGCATTATGTTTGGGCTAAATTGACTTGTCCTGTCAAATTTCTCTCATCTAGGTCAGCTGACAGAACTCAGCAGAGGCTCCATTATAACCACTAAACCACAGTCCGGCATGTAGAGGCTGACTGAATGTGGTCTGGACTCTGTGAAGGAGGGTCATGGTTTTAGAGATGCTGTAGAAGGACAGAATACCTGCTCTGTGATCCAGGTACACTCCTACTCTGGAGGCAAGAGGGCCTGAGATTAGAGTTTTGTCTCCGTTATGTATGAATTTATAACTATTGCTGCAGTTGCACTCTAACAACCACGACTCTTTGTTGAATCCAAATGCACATTCGTTCATGGAGCCTTCTCTGCCGATGTCCCTGTATGACACGGCTAGATTTACTCGTTTCATTCTCCATTCCACTTCCCAGTAACACCGTCCAGTCAGACTCTCTTTACTCAGGGCCTGACGCCATCGGATGAATCTGTCCGGGTGGCTGGGATAAGGCTGCTCCTCTCTCGTCATCAGTGTTGCTTTCCTGTTCCCCTCCGACAGTAACAGCTGTGTGTTTACAGTGTTCGGATCCAGTGTGATGTCCTGTGCATACTGCAGGAACTCAGCTCTGGTCTTGGGCTCTGGTTCTGACAGTAAAACATCCCCTTCAGTCACTATCTGTGAGATGTTTGTCCATTTCTCTCTCAGGACGTCCTGTAGTTTATCTCTGACTTCTGACACAGGCGCTGTCACGTCCTCAAAAAACCTCAGAGGACGGATCTTGATGCTGGATGATGGTGTAGATTCACTGAGTGGTGACAGTGAGGGGTAGTCGTGTAGAAACTGGTTGTGATCTTCTGTGTGTGAGAGCTTCTCCAGTTCAGCGTCTTTCCTCTTCAGCTCAGTGATCTCCTGCTCCAGCTTCTCCTGAAGCTCTCTGACTCGACTCACTTCAGTTTGCTGCTGGGATCTGACCTGCTGCTTCACATCAGAGCGTCTTTTCTCCATGAGACGGATCAGCTCAGTGAAGATCTTCTCACTGTTCCCCACTGTTTTATTAGCAGACCGGTTTATAGCCTCCACCTCCTGTTGGAGCAGCTTCTTGACTTTCTTACTGTCCTGGATTCTCTGCTGGATGTTTTGTCGACTCACCTTGAGCTCTCTCTGCCTCTCACTCCTTTCTGCTGCAGCTGAGACTGTGTCATGACCTTTGTGTTCGTCCACAGAGCAGAGATAACAGATAGACTGCTGATCAGTCCGACAAAATACTTTCATCTCCTCATCATGACGAGAGCAGACGTTCTCCTGGAGCTTCTTGGAGGGCTCCACTAGCTTGTGTTTCTTTAATGGAGCTGCTTCAAAATGAGACTGGAGGTGTTTCTCACAGTAAGAGGCCAGACACTGCAGACAGGACTTACAGGCTTTCAGTTTCCTCCCGGTGCAGACATCACAGGCCACATCATCAGGTCCAGCATAGCAGTGATCAGCAGGAGCAGCTTGGAGTCGAGTCTTCTTCAGCTCCTCCACTAAATCTGCCAACGTGGTGTTTTTCCTCAGGACAGGCCTCGGTGTGAAGGTCTGCCTACATCGAGGGCAGCTGTAGATTGTATTCTCATCCTCTTTATCCCAGTGGCTTTTAATACAGTTCATACAGTAACTATGTCCACAGGGAATAGCAACCGGATCCTTCAGGAGATCCAGACAGATCGAACAAGAGAAGGCCTCCCGGTCTAGTTGAACTCCTTTCTGCGCCATTTCTCCTCTCTGTAACGACGACTGTCTGAATTTCACTTCCTTTGAAATTAAACTAGTTTAACCTCTGATCTACACAGCATGTGTTTGTTCAGTGTCTGCTCTTGCACCGTCCCACATGTTGGTTACACCCATCCTCAAACTGTAGATCTAAAGGGAGAGAACAAGAAAATAAACGTCAGAGTGGACCTGGCTGAGTCTGATAGCAGGAAGAAGAGGGAGGGGTTAACAAGCTCTGATTCATGTTTCATTACTCTGACAGGGCAGATTCTCAACATGAATACATAACCTCTCTCTGTTGCATGGAAGCAAACTCTATAAGCAAGCATGTAAAAAACTCTAGTCACACATTTCTTAACATGTAAAAAGAAGTGAATAAAACACAGAGAATAACTGAACATGTTTCTACAACTACTGTCAGAATGGAGCTACCTGTGAACACCAGCATTACAAGCTGTCAAAATCTGAGACACCACAGGGAGGGGTCAGAGTTCCACTGAACTTCACCAGCATTAGAAGAGGTGTTTTCACATACTGGATTAAATACACTGACCTGACCTTTATTTCTTGTTTATGACTATCAGATGGTCAAACTGATGATTGAAGCAGATCATTGATATTGTCTTTAGACATACTTCACCTCAGATTGAAGTCATAATCCTGTTTCAAATACAAACCTACTGATTCCTACTGCTGCTTTAATTTACAAAGCCTCCCCTTGCAAAAGTCGGTTTGATTACAAGTAATGGAAGAATTTGGATATGTAGTAGAAGTAGTACACCGACCAAAAATACCTCTGTGTCCTTTTGTCACTGCTCATTTGCTGATCCAGGCTGCACGGGGCTGGGGAGCTCACTTGTTGGTTACACACCATCGTGCACTCGTATATGAGCGAAGGAGAGGGAACAAGGAAATGTGTGCACAGAGTGGAGTTGAGCAATAGGGAGGGGTTACCATGCTGCCCTCACGCATGTGATGAATTCTCTTAAAGGGACAGTGTGAGTCTGTCAGTCTGAGTTTTAAACGGCAGTGAAGATTTAAACACAACATTGAACAACCACATGATGTTTTTAAATAACTTACAGCTCACAATAGTTGATGCAAACATTGAGAATATTCATTTTTGGTTTCCTCTGCAATTTACAGTTTCATATAGCTATTTTGTATTACTGAAAAAAGTTTGTAGTTATGTTGCAACAGGGAACAAAATAAATAGAGCATTCATTATGAGGTATGTTCATATTCTGGCTGAAGCTGGTTAAGTGTCCCTTCTCAGGTCAGCGGTTACACTAATGTGGGAAGGCAGTTTGAAGTGGGCACCTGCAATACAGGGCTGTAAAAATCTGAGAAACCACAAGGAGGCGTCAGAGTGTCACTGAACTTCACCACCATGAGGAAATGTGTCAAAACACCTTTATAAATGTGAACTTTGAATAAATGGTTTATATGAAAGCATAATATGTCAAGTCATTGGGTGTGCTTTTATATTCAATGTTTCCTTGACTTGAAAAGGGCTGGAAGATCGCAGAGGACGCTTCACAACTCAAACTCCTTTCCATGGATATCATTTTCCAATGCATTTATTGTTACAAATGTACTTTTCAATCCATCAGGAGCTTAGCAGGTTGTAAACATTTAAAACATAAAAAGACAAACATGTTTATCAACAAAAGTCTTCAAGAAAATCAAACATGCTAAATCAATTCAGTCTCAAATGATTAAACATGCATTAGCATCCTTACATTTCTTATTTCAATTTGAACACCAAACGAAAACAAATCAGAAAACTCAGTTAATATAACAATTAAATTAATCTGAATTGTAGAAATTTTTCAGTTCTTTATATTTTCTTTACAATTTTAACAAAGTCAGAGTTACATTTGTTCAACATTAATTATCATTTAAACTTCTAAATTACTTGTTCCATGTCAACACTAAATACTGTAAAATCCGAAATCTATTTTAGTGACTTAAATTAAACCCAATTTAGGCATTAATTGTTCCAATTGAAATATAGACATAAATGTACACTAGCTTTAATAAACCAAGACGAATGAACAGCACCTCTGATAAATGAATCACAATCATAACAAGTAGAACAATGTTTAACCCTCTAACTTTACAACAACCAATATAATGTTCAAAAATCAATGCAGAGAATCTGACACCAAACCTAAACTATCATGTTGTCTCTCACAGACTAATCAATCAATTACCTACACAGCCTGCTGCACTGTCAATCAAGGATTACATCAGAATATGCATCACTATATGAACTAAACAGGGCAGATTTAACACATGTAAACATGCTAAACAGAGAATAAACAAAGAACACAACACATTTAGCAACAGCATCTGTGCTGTTTTCCTTACACTGATTTGATCCTGAAAGTGTCTCAGCCACTCTCCTCACTGCTCCTCTCACCTCACTCCTCCTCTCCCCTCACTCCTCCTCTCCCCTCACTCCTCCTCTCCCTCACTCCTTCTCTCCCTCACTCCTCCTCTCCCCTCACTCCTCCTCTCCCCTCACTCCTTCTCTCCCCTCACTCCTCCTCTCCCCTCACTCCTCCTCTCACCTCACTCCTCCTCTCCCCTCACTCCTCCTCTCCCCTCACTCCTCCTCTCACCTCACTCCTCCTCTCCCCTCACTCCTCCTCTCCCCTCACTCCTCCTCTCACCTCACTCCTCCTCTCCCCTCACTCCTCCTCTCCCCTCACTCCTTCTCTCACCTCACTCCTCCTCTCCCCTCACTCCTTCTCTCCCTCACTCCTCCTCTCCCTCACTCCTCCTCTCACCTCACTCCTCCTCTCCCCTCACTCCTCCTCTCCCCTCACTCCTCCTCTCACCTCACTCCTCCTCTCCCCTCACTCCTCCTCTCCCCTCACTCCTCCTCTCACCTCACTCCTCCTCTCCCCTCACTCCTCCTCTCCCCTCACTCCTTCTCTCACCTCACTCCTCCTCTCCCCTCACTCCTTCTCTCACCTCACTCCTTCTCTCACCTCACTTCTCCTCTCACCTCACTCCTTCTCTCACTTCACTCCTCCTCTCCCTCACTCCTTCTCTCACCTCACTCCTCCTCTCCCTCACTCCTTCTCTCACCTCACTCCTCCTCTCCCCTCACTCCTCCTCTCACCTCACAAAATAAACAAAATTACATATGAACCAGTAAATACACTTTTAAACATATTGAAAATGTATTTTTGTCCTTTGATTTTAACAAAACAATGGGCTTTTCTCATCATTGGGGGGTTTGTAGAAAGACTAGAGACACATGTTAGTGTTAGAGAAACATGGTTAAGTGTATTTTACATGTGACCTTTAACATTATTAATAATAATAATAATAATAATAACACCATAACGCTTCTCTGAATACTCTAAGACACCTAAAAAAGAAAACCAACAAAACAAAACAAAGAAGAAATAATCTAAGAGAAGGAGGAAACTTCTGTTTACCTTATTCTTTTGAAGACGAGTTTTAGAAGCAAACAGGTCAGGATGAAGCAAATGGAGAGGAGAGAGAGGGGGTGTGTGTGTGTGTGTGTGTGTGTGTGTGTGTGTAAAGGTGAGAGGTTAACAGAATGTCTATACGCAGGTCCATGTCTGCTGTGGTGCAAGGAAAACTAGGGGGCTCAAAGAGACAGGTCAGAGGAAGGTCCCATGTCCACATATGATATTGAAATCTATGAAATACAGAAATGTGGCTTTCCTGGTGTCGTCAAAGTACCGTAGTATGTGCAGTGAAGAAAAGTATAATCAGCTTTCTTTAGAAACATGGAAAAAAAACACAGATGTTAACACATTGTCCCCTAATGACTTCTGTCTACTTCAGCTTACACAACTCAGCAGAGTCTTTAACGTTATGAATCCAGAGTCCAGCATGTAGAGGCTGAGTGAATGTGGTCTGGATTCTGTGGAGGAGAGTCATGGTTTCAGAGATGCTGTAGAAGGACAGAATACCTGCTCTGTGATCCAGGTACACTCCAACTCTGGAGGACTGAGGACCTGAGACAGGAGTGCTGACATTGTTGTACCAAAAGTTATAACTGTTGTTGTAACAATCTAACGCCCAAGATTTGTCATTACGTCCAAACACAAATTCATATGAGTCCCCTGCTCTGCTGATATTCTTGTATGAGACTGCTACATGAACTCTTCTTCCTCTCAACTCAACTTCCCAGTAACAACGTCCAGTCAGACTCTCTTTACTCAGGACCTGAAAAAATCCACTGAATCTGTCTGGATGACTAGAATAAGACTGTTGTTCTGTCATTACTGTTACTTTTCTGTTTCCATCAGATAATAACAGCTGTGTGCGTGCTGTGTTTGGATCCAGTGTGATGTCACATGAATATTTTAAGAACTCAGCTCTGGTCTTGGGCTCTGGTTCTGGTTCTGACAGTAAAACATCCACTTCAGTCACTGTCTGTGAGATGTTTGTCCATTTCTCTCTCAGGACGTCCTGTAGCTTATCTCTGACTTCTGACACAGCCGCTGTCACATCCTCAAAGTACCTCAGAGGACGGATCTTGATGCTGGATGAGTGTGTAGATTCACTGAGTGGTGACAGTGAGGGGTAGTCGTGTAGAAACTGGTTGTGATCTTCTGTGTGTGAGAGCTTCTCCAGTTCAGCGTCTTTCCTCTTGATCTCCTGCTCCAGCTTCTCCTGAAGCTCTCTGACTCGACTCACTTCAGTTTGCTGCTGGGATCTGACCTGCTGCTTCACATCAGAGCGTCTTTTCTCCATGAGACGGATCAGCTCAGTGAAGATCTTCTCACTGTTCCCCACTGTTTTATTAGCAGACCGGTTTATAGCCTCCACCTCCTGTTGGAGCAGCTTCTTGACTTTCTTACTGTCCTGGATTCTCTGCTGGATGTTTTGTCGACTCACCTTGAGCTCTCTCTGCCTCTCACTCCTTTCTGCTGCAGCTGAGACTGTGTCGTGACCTTTGTGTTCGTCTATCAAACAGAGTTGACAGATAGACTGCTGATCAGTCCGACAAAATACTTTCATCTCCTCATTATGACGAGAGCAGACGTTCTCCTGGAGCTTCTTGGAGGGCTCCACTAGCTTGTGTTTTGCAGAAGCAGGTGAATCATAATGAGGCTGAAGATGTTTCTCACAAAATGAGATCAAACACTGCAGGCAGGACTTACAGGCTTTCAGTTTCCTCCCGGTGCAGACATCACAGGCCATGTCTTCAGGTCCAGCATAGCAGTCATCAGCAGGAGCAGCTTGGAGTCCAGTCTTCTTTAGCTCCTCCACTAAAACTGCTAACATGGTGTTCTTCCTCAGGACAGGCCTCGGTGTGAAGTCCTGTCTGCACTGAGGGCAGCTGTAGATTGTCTTCTCATCCTCTTTATCCCAGTGGCTTTTAATACAGTTTATGCAGTAACTATGTCCACAGGGAACAGTCACTGGATCCTTCAGGAGATCCAGACAGATTGAACAACAAAGGGTTTCCTGGTCCAGCTGAGCTCCTTTTTGCGTCATTTCTCCTCTCGGTAACAACAACTGTCTGAGTTTCACTTGCCTAGAAATCAATAGTTTCACCTCTGATCTACACAGCATGTGTTTGTTCAGTGTACATCAGCTCTTGCTGGTTACACCCATCCTCAAACTGTGTTTGGATCAGCGCTTCTGAGAAAAAGTTAGCCAAAAGTGCACTACCACACTTGTCATGGGGATTCCACAATCCTCGTCGGTTATTACTAAGTACACATCAACCATACAATGCCCTGTTGTTATGGCAACTATTTTATCATACATGAGCAACAGAGCATCCACACGAACCCTCACATGACTGTTGAGTTGAGAGGCAAAAGAAAAGTAGGAGCTCAGTTACAGGCATCCATCCATAGCAGAATTTGTGTTATTTTGGTGAAGCCAAATAAATAATTAAATGAAACCAGAAATTCACTTTTGTGCAACATTTTCTTATTCGCTTATACATGCTGCTTGTCGATTGTTGTATGATAGCAACATCACTTTCAAGACTGACATTCAACCAAGACAGAAGCAGCTACCTTATATATTGTTTTCAGCCGGTCTCTGACTGGCCCTTGAATTTCTCCCTTGATTTCTAGCCTCGTGGTTTTACTAAATCCACCAACAACAGCACTGGAAGCTTTTTAGAATGAACACCACCCGCTACTACACAACACTTAAATAAAGCTGTCAAACATTGTAAGTCTCATATGTTCATCCAACCAAAAGCCCATTGTATAAAATCAGCTTGAAAGGAGGTTAGCTTCTTTGAACCCAACACCACATAGTTCTGAAGCTGTAATCAACCTCGAGCAGCCGCTTCTGGTGATGGCTACATGGAGACAAGTTTGTTCCATGTGTCACACCATTCAAAGTAGAGTTTCCAGAGCTCCTGGGCAGCAGTCTGTTTGATGTTTCATATTGCCCCTTCAAAGTTAAACAAGTGCACTGGGCTCCTATTTCAGTCAAGAATGTCATAACAGGAAGGTGGGAGTGGGGTTGACTGGAGCTTCTGTATTTTGTTAAACGTGAGGGTAGTTGACTTCATTCAAGGTTATCTGGCACTCTTAAGACACAGATTGTTTTTGGAGTATCTGTTGATTGGTTGTGCGTTGAATCTATGAATGTTGTTGAGAAGAGAATCCCTGTAACTGCAACCTCTTGGCAATCCAACTCTTCTGATATTAAGACGCTCTTTGTTCTCACGCTGACAGTAGTCGCATAAATCAAAAACAGCCTTAAAACGGCTCTCTCCAAATCAACAGGATATTTTAACATGGTGCGTTTTGTGTTTGGCCATTATTACCACTGTAGCACGAAAAGGGATTCTTTCCACCATCCAAAGGACTCCAGTGTGTCTGACTCTAGCCTTCAGGGTTGGATCGGTACGCTTGACACCACAACAAAAAAAATAAGGATCAAAGATCAGTTATTTTGATACTTTTCACAACTTTTACAGTGGAAGAACCAATAAACTTGTACCGAACTGACGGGAACTGAACCGGATCGCTTTTTGGAAGTGGAGCACAAGTTGTCAATGACTTTTCTTTGTCCTGTGCATCTGTGAACCCCACTACTCTGAGCTGTTCCCCAAAAGTCCACTGATGGATTCGATTGTCTTTCAGTTGTTGCTGCAGGCGCTGACTCTTTGTTTTATCATACAGGCACGATCCAAACCTACATTGGCAGCAGATCAGACTTTGTTTTCCATAAATACATCAGACAGAGTGATGTTTGCAGAGCCAGCCGATTGTTCAAGGTATGAAAAGCCCCGTTTCCACCAAGCGGTCAGGTTCAGTTTAGTTCAGTTCGGTACACATTTATTGGCGTTTTCACTTTCAAAAGTTGGGAATGGTACCAAAATAACTGATGAATGAACTGTTTTGCTACCCTTCTGTTGGGGTGCCAAGCATGCCGCTTCGACCCTAAAGGGTGGAGCTAGACACACTGCAGTCTGTTGATTGGTCGCAAGAACCTTCACTTCATATGCGACAGCGTTAATAAATGACAAACAAAACACACCATGTTTAAAAGTCTTGATTTGGAGAGAGTCATTTCAAGGCTGTTTTTGTTCTTTGCGACTAATGTCAGCGCCTAGCTCTGCCCTATGGACGTCCTTGGAGATGAAGACCTTCCTAGGAATCATTGATCTTTGTTTATTGTGTCACGTTCTTCTACTTTGTTTAATTTATTGGCGGTTTTCACTATGCTGTGCCGCTGTGATTTAGTGATGTGTAAGGGTACTGTTGGCTGTGGAAATGCAAGCAAGATCAGGGTTTACCATACCAGACTGTACTGAACCAATCCACACCGCTTGGTGGAAATAGGGCTAAAGTTAAAAATCGTTTTACAGCTTCAAACCAACATTAAAACTTCAAGAGATAATTCAAATACTGACCGTTAGAACCCAATGTAAAACTGTAATGAGAATATTTCTTTCAACTCCATCTTTTCTCTTTGGTTAACTTTTCTTTACTCACTTCATTTCCCTTTCATCCAGCAGACTGTGAGAACTGAAGACGACAGGCAGTCCTTTTCATCATTTATCTCCTTTGACTTCATCAGATAAACCAGATTAGAGGCTAAAAAATAATTATATTCAAGGCAAAAACGGAGGCGCGTGAACACCGTTTATCTAACTGCTCTTCTTATCGACATCTATTACGTACATTTGTAATCTCATCAAACGCAAAGGGCAACCCATGTGAGTTCTGTTGAAGACAAAGGAAAGAACAGAGAAAATCTGCATAGTGCTTCTCTGAATAGAAAAGATAAGAAGTGAGTCAATTAATGTATCGAGCACATTTAATAACACGTGGTTTATCGCTGATTCTTGCAGTTGCTTGAGCAATAATAAATACTAAGTTGAGGGAAGATAATGTCCGGATCTGCAGAAGACAGAAAAAGGATCAACAAGCGACCATTTACTGCAGTGGCACAACAAAGACAATTTGAGCTTTTAAACCTGCAGGTTAAAGAGAGCTAAATCTATAAATGACTTGTTCATGTTTCCTTCATTTAAGAAATATTGCCAACTTGAAATCAGTTGTCTCACATGCAGAGTTGGAGATGCGGATTCATCTCCAAACTAAACTATTGTAATTCCCTTTTCAGCAGCCTCGATGAATCCTCCCTCGGCCGCTTAAGCCCAATTCACACATACTCTGTGCGCACCGCGGTCCGTCAGCGCCGCGCACTACGTTGTACTTAGCTGCCATTCTAGTCAATCATTGTGTTCACACAGTGCGCACTGCGGTCTGTCTCCGGCGCATGCCACCAACGGCACTACGCTCTGCTCCTTTTCAAATACGCAGTGAGTCTATTTTCACCGGAGTGCGCTGCAGGCACGCATCGTATTTTTCATCACTTTATCAACATTACGTCAAAACAGGAACCGAATTAACAACAATGCATCCTCAGAAAGACAAAGCAACATGTTGTTTGCATGTTTTTCTCTTTATTCCCGCGGGATCTTGTAGTTCTCCTGTGATGTGTCATGGGTGCGCTGACGTCCCAAAAACGGATCCAGTGTGAATGGGCGCGAGCCGTCCGACGGAGCAAAACCGTGGCACTGACGGACCGCGGCGCGCACAGAGTATGTGTGAATTGCGGGTTACATATGATTCAAAATGCAGCAGCAAGATTGTCAGCAAGGTCCAGTTCAGCCAGCATATCGCGCTAATGATGTACAAAAATAAATTATCATTGGAATGAAACTTTTGTTTTGCAGGGATAAACTTCATCTCCTAAAGCTCTAAGGAAACCCTGAGTTAGCAAAACAATATACATTTAAACAGAGTTGTGTGCTCTAATCTAATTGAACTGATCCCTGCAGATTGACAATAATCAGACAGCTTCATGTGGGGTTTATTATCCCCCCAGTGTAGCATATAATGCTGAACCAACGAGCTGCAGTGCTGATCTCAGCCTGTCTTCATGTAGACGCTGTAATCTGTAAGCGTGTTAGTACACCCTTAGTCCATTATCTTTACTTTTGGCTGTTGAGCACCTGTAAAACAGATTCACACCCCTCCCCCCCCTTCCGGAGGATTCTGGTTTGCATTCACAGTAACCAGCTACGATAAGCTTTGTGGTTACTCATCACCCTCACACAGACCCATCTACCCAGCCCGCTTCTCTTTCCCAATTAGCAGGGTCTTCGCCTTGACTCTCTCTGTCAGCTCAGATCAAGACAGCTCATCTTCTCAGAGATAACGGAGCATCCAGCTTGCCACCTCTAGGCCGGGTATCTTAAGGATGGAACAATATGTAGAAAGACATGCGCAAGAAGGACAAAGAAGAAAACAAAATATCAGCAGAAAACTTAAAGGCAGGGTTGAACATTTTCTCCTGATCCACTTTTTAAGATTTTGGTTGAAATTGTCTTTAGGTCCTGACAGAAATTAATAATTCATGTTCTCTGAAAAAGGAACAAAGAAAATCCGTCATCTGTAGCAGTTGTAAGAATGTAAAAACCTCGACCAAGGTCTTTCAAAATCATGCTAGTTTTAGAAAATTACCAACCCTGTCTTAAACTCTGTGACAGGTACTGTTTTCTTGGATTAGCTTATTAAAATAGCGTAATCATAGTGAGCGTCTGGAGGGCACTTGGAAATAACTTAATTCACACAGTGCAATGTTTTACAAAGATAGCCTTTATCAAACATCTTTTACATGACATTCATGGTGTCTCTTTTCAGATTACACAGGTTGAATAAAGACCTGATACTCAACATCATGTCAGTCAACATTAAATATGAAATCACTCTACAAACCAGCACTGAGTTGTCCTCAGGGTTTTAAATGCGCTCAACCACTAACAAGTCACAGAGATGTCTGATGAAGAGGAACATGATGACAATGTATTTGTAGTATGCTTGATGTCACTTTTCTTAAGGCGTACACTTTATTTTTATTTTTTTTAAGTATGGACCTGATGTGCTGTTGGTTAAATTGTTATAATTTATTTTCCCCCATAGGAATACACATATTTTTATTCCTGTGAAAACCAGATTTAAAGCTGAGATAACTAATTAATTCAGTTCTCTATTTATGTGTATGTAAAAGCAATTAATCAATTAGAATCAGTCATTTGGAAATTTGACAACTGGGAAGATTATGATCTACAAGAGTTTTACAACAAGTTATTTGTCCATTGATGTTTACTTCTCAACATGGGGATTATTTTGGACTCTGTAAAATTATCTTTAATTGTGGAATATTTGTTCTCGTGTATGAGTGGGTCCTTGTACGAACTTATCTGAAATGTAGTTTTCTACAAGGTTCAATCCTCGGTCCTCTTTTTTTTTTTCAATCAAAAATTACATGAAAACATCATCCTCAAAGTAAAAAGTCGACTTTTATGCAGATAATACTCAGGTGTATTCCTCCCTCTAGGAGGTAGGATGTTATCCAGATTATTTGGACCTGCAAAGGACCTCTAGTCCTTTATGTTTTTCCAACAAAACTCATAGCCAGAGGGAGTGATAAAGCAGTAATTAGTTTCATGTTACCTTAAAATAAACGGTTAATCTGTTCTCCTTCCGTCAAGTGTCACCAGATTTTTTTTGTCTTGTTGTGACAGTGAAAAACGACATGTAAAAGACATATAGGTCACGTTGCACTAAGCAAGCTATGACTTTTTTCTTGTCATCTCTTGACAAAATTCACTTTAGAATCAAGAACACAAAAATCAATGCAAACAGGCAAAAGCGTGACACTTGCTTCATGAACAAAATCCAACATTATTTCCTTTCATAATAAAGTAATTATCTTTAATGTTACTGTATCCACTGGCCCCTCTCCTTTAACTCTTCTGCGCCTCAGCTGGCGCAAATAAAAATGTAGATCACAGACTGTTGACTTTAAGCTTCTTTTTTTCACAACATAAACCAGTTTGAAACATACCTAACACTGTATAGTACTATTGCATATAACACCATAAATGAATGATTTCCAGCACAGCTCAAGGTCTGAAGTTGTATCAAATCAAATTTCAAAACCCCATCTGACAGTGATAGTCTCCCGCTTTGAGGACCATATGTGAACAGCCAGGTCAGGAGAATATCAAGAGCAGTCCCCCTGCAATTTTCTAGATATTTTCAGGAGTGTATATGTCTTAACGGCTAAATAAACTTGCAAACAAAAACAGTGCCAGGCTTTATCAAATACATTTTTTCTCCCTTAAGTTTTTTTAATTGCAGCAACCACACGGTCATAATATTATGACCCTGACATGGCTGCTACTGTGATACTAACCATGATTAGGAGAATAGCACTCCTATACACACACATATATCATTATATTTAACAGGTGTATATCAAATATGTAACATAATGGAGGTATATTTCTTGCCAAACACATGAGCACAGGTCCTGTCAAATCAGTGCAACAAAGTGTAACTGTACATCTGCTCATGGCATATAAAAAATGAAAATGGTTCCTTGTTTGCATCAAACAAAAACACAGTCATGGGATGGCCGAGTCAGGCTGAAGGTCCACTTAAGGTCCATTTGAAGGCTTGCAGAAATTTGTAAAGCTAAAACCAAAATCTGCTCTGAAGTAATGTGCAGCTCCCGACCATGTGGATCGTGACTTCACATTCACATTTACTTTGTAAATTGTTCAACCCAGGTGGACTATTTTTTTCCCCTCACAGCACCGTGGTCTCTGACTGTAGGATGGACTGAGTTCTGGAGTTCCTGTGAAAGTGCACCATGTGCTCCGAACTGTTCCTGGAGGTGAGGGTGCTGTTCAGGTGGTGCGCTCTGCTCAGACGACAGTTCAGACAAATACTCCGCCACTTCCTTTTCAGCTCACCTTGAACCTGCAAAAATTAATCAGACACATTCATAAATGTCATTATTTTATTTGTAAGATTAAATCTTTCATTGTTTATAAGTAATGACTAAAGCAAGTCAAAGAATACATTTTTGAATCCTGTTAATCTCTGAGTTTCAGTAGTTAATCATGATTATCACATTCTAAAACACGTTAGAAAATCCACTTTTTTGGATTCAAAAACTGTTTTTTGGGGGCTTTTATTTTGAATGTTTGTACGGTCTTAAAGGCACAGTATGTACATTCTGCCACCAGGGGGCTCTCAATCAAAACAATAACAAAAGATGACATATAGGCTTGCGGGGAATCATGGGAGTGATTCACTCTGCTACTGCTTTTTATTAATTTAGATATTTTAATATATACATTGTTATAAAATTTGACAAATTGTATGTTTGATCTAAGTGTACTTTACTCCCTGTTTGAATCCAAACCTGCTTTTAGGAACGTCTCGTAGATCGCAGGTTACAACATTAACTTAACCACGGAAAAAGGAACTTGTTATGGCTCAAAAAACTAAATGAAAACAGCTCAAAGGGAGCTGATATTTCTCTAATCTGAAATGAGACATTCAAAGATGCAGCAGTGTCGTTCTTTTCCATCACAGACAACACAAAGATTCTGCATGCTTACCTACGGGGCGCTTAAAGGGAAAAAAAAGCCATTAATGCATTAATTTTGGAGCTTAATCACGCCACAATTAACGCATTAATGCTGACAGCCGTAGTGATAACAACTGCTTGAGTGTTTGCCCATTAATATTCCTTAAAAAAATGTATTGTTCTTAGTTGTTGCAAAAATGTAAATATTACCTCACTGTTGAGGAAACAGTACAGAATGGCCAGGACCAGACCCTGGAAAAAACACACCACAGTAATCTTAACCACTCTTAATCAGCTGAAATCTTTAACTTACAACATTCATGTTGGTGGAACGAACATGTGTGTAACAGCACCTGAAAGGATCCGAGGGCCAGGTCAAAGAATATTTTGTAATCTTCTGCAATGGATTCACTGAGAGACACGAATACCACATAATGGATCCCAAACAGAGGGATGAGCAGGAGAGTGGATTTGGCCAACCTCCTGGGGAAAGAAAAAAAACAAAACATGCAACAACATTTTTTCTCAGATTTTTCTCTGTCCCTTAGACTGATTTCTTTAAACACAAACATTGAATGTCAAAACAGTCCTAACTCCCAAATCATAAAGATTTCTACATTATTGGGTATTTAAAGTTTTTTTCTTTACCCTTCTTTCAACATATATGCTGATTGTCTGTTTACTCCACATCCAACTTCTGTCAACACAAGAACTGCATCCACATTCAAGGCATTTCTGTCCAGCAATGTTAATCATGCATTGTGTCTTCAAGGATCCCAGAGTCCACCTGGATCCACTTTGGTATGGCACCATCATATGATTATTAGGACCTCAGTGGGTGCTTCAAAACTGAGGCAAAAGTAACTTCTGATATGGCTGTTGCATAAAGGACTCACATTGCACCGAGATGCACCTACAACTCTCATGTAAGATGATCAAATCCTCACCCCCAATTCCACTCTCCAGCTGACAACTCAGCTAAGCAGCACACTGAAATACTCTGCACTGACACTGAATCCTCACTTACACTAACAGAAGATTCTGCAGTGGAACAAATCAGAGTTAACTAAAGCCTTTCATCACCTCCTGCCGATGAATCTTAAATCCCAGCAGCCGCAGGCACAAGAATACCTGACAACTCAGCACACCTTAGATTTCCTTGGAGGTGGTAAAAACTTTCTGAAGATTAAACACACAACCGCAACTGACCAAGAAAAGACTCACACAGACTTTGAATCATGCAAGACTGTGTGCCACAGAGGTTTCACCCACCCCCCCCCCCCTGCAATATGAAACGCTGCCATTTTCACTGAATGTAAGCATCACACTTATCTCTCCAGACAGCAAACACTGAGAGGATAAACATGTTATCTGTTATATACAATTTATTGTATCCACTGTAGTTTACCAGCAGGTGAAGCATTTGCCTATTGCATATATGCACAATCTGTCATTCCCATCAAAGCTGAAACCACAAAAACAAAAAAACAGGTTTGCTGCAAAGATCCAAGAAGGCAGAGATGGGGTTTCTCTCACTGTTTTTTTTTTTTTTTTAACTGTACCTGTATTGCGATTGGTCATTTCCACCCACGTCTGGACACCTCAGCTTCTGAACCAAGATGCGGATGATGCTGATGAACAGAATGAAGTTCACCTTGGAGACAGACAGGAAATAAAAGCTGAAGTGTCAAGAAGGATCCACATGGGGGAGTCATTATTTAGCTGTGGTAAGACAGTTTTCCACCCACAGAAAGCAGACAATGAAAAGTAAAGGTGGAAACAGCAAGTATGTCCAGTGAGATAGCAAATCAAAAACCAGTTTAGGCTTTCAGTTAGCTTGAAGTTTAAGTATAAGATGTTTGTTCTTTGAAATTTATAGGGGCTTTTCTACAGCAACCTTTGAACCTTTCTGGGGCTGCTGTTTTTTTTCTATTGGATTGACATTTTTTGTTGGTTTGCAACAGAGGTCCATACCTGTAGACAACACATTCTAAAAACAGCACAAAGACATATACATATAAAACATAACTACTATGCATATCATCATGATGGACATGAGTGAAATAAGGGACACAAAGACCAACCGCACAAAGTAAAAGTGTACAGGCAACAATGCCTACAGGTTATTTAAAAACCCAACTGCTGATGGAACAAAGGACCTCAGGTATCTGTTAGATTTGGCTCTCCTAACATACTGTAAGTGAACCTCTTCCCTGTCTGCAGACGTCAAAACTCTGCATCCAGAGGGTCTTCCAAGATGGCCTTTGCCTTCTGACTGGCTCTTACTTGAAAAATATGGCCAAGGTCATTCAAGTTAACGCCAATCTTTTAAAAGTTTAACTGTTTGTATGTCAAAAAGTGATTGTCCAATCACATGGAAGTATTTAGAGTAACTAAATCATGGCCAAGAGAGAAGAGATTTAGCTTTTTATGTTTTACTTGCAGAACCCAAAAACAACAGCAACAGCTCAACAGCGCTTATTTTGTAAATGGGCTACACTGCAAAGACAGGTCAGTGATCCCTATAAACTTGAGGGTTGCTAATGTTAGCTAGACTACAAAATGGTAAAATGATAGATGGACTTGAGCTTGTTTAGCACTTTACTTGTCTTCTCAAAGTGCTTTTACTCCACAGGCTCCCCCTACCCATTCTACAGCGATGTAGAGTGTCCATCAGAAGGAAATAATCTGATTCATACACATTAATACGTCGCTGAAGAAGCATCAGATATGTGGCTGTAGGAGCTGGGGATAGACCCCCTCAACCTTCTGGTTTAGAGACATCCAACTCTACCACTGAGCCACAAGCCGCCCCTTGCAATGATAATAACTTGCACTGGCTAATGGGGCATTGCATCTAATATAATGCAAAAAGACAGACTATCATCAAGTCAACACAGGAAAGTCTGGTGAAATATTTTGAAAAAAAAAAACAGAAAGCTGCTTCTTTACTTCCATATTGTTTCTCTCATCTCTCCTTTTCATTTGAGCACCAATGGAACCGTTAATTAGTCACCCGGTTCTTTTTAAACAACTCAAAGACAAAATGAAAAACTAGCTAAAAATGGCTGTCAAATCAAATCAAATTGAGAGATATACCAACAGTACCTTAAGGGAACAGGGGCTTAGCACTTTTCAGCAGGTTTCTATTATTCCAACCATTTTCCCCCCATTTGATAGCAATTGAACACTTGCTGAACTGAGACACATGAAACACCTGCCAACAAAGAGGAGGCAATAAACCATGACCTACCATAATAGAGAATCCAATTGGTCCATTGATTACCCAGTTGGGTATGGGGTTGTCATTTCTTTCCCAGCATCTGGAGAAACAATACATTGCTATAATGAAGCTAGGATACATCATATATTTGCAAAAACACAACAGCTACATGAAAGATTGGATGGTTACAACCAGAGCTGAGGAGGGCTGCTACATAATCAGTTTTTACAGATCCACTTTGGCTGTAGCCCCAAAGTCTCTTTAAGACATTCAGGTCTTAAGCGAAGTCTAATATCCTTCAGGGCGAGAGTGGATTCCAGTCACAAATCCATCCATTGATTTTCCGGACACTATCAAAGTCCAGCTGGATTAGTCTGAGGCTAACCCAAGTAGCCATTTTTCCTCTAAGCCATGTCCTGCAGCACTTCCAAGACACTCTTCACAACATTAATAGGTCATCTTGAGTGTGTAATTCCTATTGAGTTGCCCCTGGGGTCTACTTCCAGTTGGACATGGCGGGAATACTGGAAGCATCATCACCAGTGGGCCGAACCATTTTAATTGGCTTCTTTTGATGTACAAAAAAAAAGGCAATGTTTGGATTTTCCTCTGAGGATCATTTGGACGCCTAAGCTTCTCATACCTCTGAGGATGAGCTTAGACATCCTGCAAAGGGATTAATTAGAGCCGATTAAATTGGAAATCTCATTCTTACTCTAATAAACCAAAGCCCATGACATACACCTGAGGGTTTAAGAGTTGAATAAATAGTTATTTCAGAGCTTAACCTTCGTCTTTATGATGGTCCATTGAATGGGTACCAATTATGACTGATGCACTAATTAGCAGAAATATTGCCATTAACGATGGAAGCTTTTCAAAGGTTCATCATATTTAAACATGAAGAATTGGCGTAATGATTAAGCATGGAAGATTTCTGGTTGTACAAGGCTTGTCTGATACTGTGTTGTTGCTAAATGACCTTGACTCGAGACTGGGACGCTTTCAACTCTTCCAACAAGTCTCAGTTTGATTGAGCCTGAAAGCAGTCAAGTCTCAAGATGCCAGTTCTGTGCGTTGATCTCAACTCCAGTCTCAAACAGAAGACTCAACAAAAACGATCTTCATTTACTGTATAGTTGTTTACAGAGGCGCTGCTTGTCAACAGGCAAGGCAGGCAATCCAGTCAAGCCAGTAGGGGGCTAAACCAACGACTGACTAACCAGTGGTTCTCAACTGGTGGGTCGGGACGCAAAAGTTGGTCGTGGATCACAAACGTGACTGGAAAAAAAAGTATAAAAAGTCTATGAAGTGCTCTTAAAACATGCTGGTGTTGTTTCTTTTCTTTGTTCTGTCATATGTTTCGTACAATTTGAGGTCCAAACTGCACTATTTTAAATTAAATAAATCTGATTGGTTGAAAAAATCTCAGAAAATAGGGTCACAATTGTCATGATGGTGGTGGGTCCTTAAGACTAGACCAGTTGAGAACCACTGCTTTAAACCATATGTAGCAGTGACTCAGAATTTTACAATGACAGTAGAAAACCTCCCTAAGTGGGTCCCATCTGACAGTACTCACTGTTGTTGCAACACTAAGCATCCACTATTCCTGTGGAAACTTAAATGTGTCACTTAAAGATGCTGTTGGTGTGAGATTATTTTTTAACATAATGGAAGATGAATGCTAATTGGAGGGGCCCCCAGTGAATTTTGCTTAGCCCCAACAGACTCTAGAATCACCCCTGGTTTTGTTTTCATGCTTTTGACTGCGTATAACGACCATTCATCAGGAAGAAAACAAGGCAGAGGAAGGCTATAGAGATCGAGTTGCACACTTAATGTTCAATAATTAAAAATGTTTATATATAGCTCCAAGGTCAAAGGATGGACCTTATTGTTACAGCTTCATTTACATTCTTCATGCAGCCTCAGTATCTGTGCTGTCTTTTCTCATTAGTTGTTGTTATTGTTGTTGTTGTTGTTGTTGTAGAGTCATTCCAATACATATTTTAAAGAATGGCCCCCAACTCTGCTGCCCTTGAATGATATGCAACAGAAGCGGAGCTGATCCACTGCACGAGGCTCATTATGATGACTACTCAATGCATATCCCCCCAGATGAATGAAGCAATAAAGTGCCCTTTGACATGAGGAATATTGGACGTATTATTCTCCAAACTGAGCCACACTGTCACATGGGTATGTGCTGGCTGAATCTAATATGAAGAATTTAATTTGTGGACTTAATGTAATCACTGATGCGGAGCCGCCTGTTGAACATCAATGTGTACTACACTGCCCTCTAATGTCATTGCAAATCCCTGTCACCTACCATTTAATAAAAGGAAAGAAAAATAATGTATTCATTCCAATTCAAGAGTGCAAAGGGTACGTTTAACACAAAACAAATTAGAGATCTTTCTTGATAATAATGGTGACCATAATGATGTCATGTTTTCATGCCACAGAGTAATGTGTTTTATGATTGGCTGCAGACACTCACCCAGTGTCTTCCAAGTAGACCCTCATCATCACCCATGCAAAGACGAACACCGTTGGAATTCCTGCAGAGGGTCGATGAAGAAAACAGATCACTATGGCAATTTGTAACAAACCTCTTATACTATTAAGAGTTTAAACTTCCCTTTGTTTGCTAATTGATTATAGAATAAGTGCATGAAAAAAAGGTATTTAACCCATTGGTTCCCAACCTTCTTGGCTGGGGATCAATGGGTTCTCAAAAGGTTGAGAGGGGTGGGAGTCTGTGGCTGTCCTGAGGTTGTATGAATTAGATTTAAATAAATTAACTTAATTCCTGATAAAGCACTTAGTTGGAACTTTATACAACGGTCTTTAAGTAAGAACATGTGTGTAGGCCTACTCTGGTAGACTTTCAGAAATGGAAACGATTCAAATTGAAGTCAATGTTTGACGGCACAGTCTTGCCTTTTTTTTGTGTCTGGGTCCATGGGCTGGGGGTGGGCAAGGACAAAAGGTTAGGAACCTCTGATTTAATCCATATAGATTACATTTAGCAAATTTATTCTAACATTGTTGGCAGTGTTGGGACTGGAATGTCATTACTATTTGTGGTAACATAGTAGTGGTTTAGTTACTTTCCAGTAGTGTTGTAGTGCTCGAAATCGGTCTTGGTCTCGAAACCACTTTTTGAAGGTCTCTTCTCGGGAATCGAAAGCATTATAACTCATACTTGTCTCGGTCTCAGACTTGGTGAACTCCTGATTTCAAATCAAGACCGGTCAAGACCACCACTGAGCGGCTATCTTTCCATGACATTACTGAGATTAGAAGAAAAAATCTCCTCTTTCTTAAAAAAAAAAAAACAACAACTTCAATTCATTTGTAAATCGATTTTTATCCCCCGGTTACGGCCCTGGTCTTGTCTCGCTCTCGCCCTGCCTTGGCCTTGGTCTTGGTCTTGACGCTGTCTCCATCCATAAATGTCTTGGTCTTGTTTTGGAGCACTCTTGTCCCGGTTAGTGTGGTCTTGACTACAACACTACTTTCCAGATTCTGACTGACATTTAAAAGCATTCGTTACTCGTTACTTTATGTGAAACATCAGCACAGCAGCATCCTGGGAGACAGAAACAAATGCAGGCAGGTTGATCATTCAGCTATGAGCTTCCTGTCTCAGAGATACTGACACCGGGCATGGGATGATATGCACTATATAGCAACAGAACCAGAAGTCGGATCTGTGACCAAGAAGATGAGGACTAAATTGTAAATTGGGCACCTGCTCTACCAACCGAGCCAAACCAGAGTCCCCAAGCTGACTGAACTCTTTTGGATTTTAAGAAACAGCAGGGGAGCCTTACCCCAGCCGATGAACATGTAGATGATAAAGCGTCTGTTCTCGGAGAAGATGACGACGAGCAGAGTGTGGAGGTAAAGGCCCTCCACCAGCAGCCAGAAGAAGTTGGCCATGATGAAGTACTGGAAAAACACCAGGCTGGCTCTACATCCAACCTAAAACACATGCACAAGGACATCGAGCGTAAATGCAAAGGAGCATCAGGTGCTTTAGAGAATAAGAATAGCTGTGAAATGTACTGAAATGGGGAGGTCAATTCTTGGTTAGTTTCTTAGTTCTGTACATGTTTTTTACGTTCCTTTTTGTTGTGTTTCTTTAATTGGACGCTACAGGAGAGAGGCACAAATATTCCCAGCTGGATCTGAACCCTTCGACTACTAAGTGGATTTGAAAGCCTATTTCTCCACCCCTACTTTGTGAACCACTGTCCTACTGTACCCAGTTTATTCTTCTTTTTTTTTTTCTGTTTTAATCTTTTATTAACACAAATCAACACACACAAAAGCTCTCTTATAGGGACGAGTTCTGCAGATCAGCACCCGCCAGAAACACTGTGATGCTTGCATTGGATTGCTGTTTTCAGTTTGTATATTCAATGTATATTGTATCTGTCCCTATCAAGTCCAAATAAGGCTCTGCTGCCCTAAACGGCTCTGCTGCCCACTGTCTGTGATGTTTTCCAAGTTTTCCGAGTCCTATCTTCAGTTTGTTTACATCGCCGGGATGGCAGGCCAGCTATTCCCCTCGCGTATAAAAGTTGTTTAATTGAGGGACTAGAGAAAAGAAGAATAACATACTGTACTCACTGCTTAACTGTGTTTCTAGATCACGCTCATTTCACGTAAATTTACATGCAGTGTGAAGATACCAGCATAATAAAGATCGCTAGCATTAGCATGCTAACACAACAATGCAGCGCAAGTTGTTTTGGTTTCATGCTGGTGCTCAAGGGCGACACCTGCTGGATCAAAAAAAGCACATATAAAGCCTTTAAGTCATCTTTATAGACTTCTCGATGAGTGGATGCCATTAAAGAGTGTGCAGGTTTAAGTCACTTCTACACAGGCTTCACTTTCCTCACTTTCAGCCTTGGAGGAGTTAACTCCTGAGACACTCGATCTTGTGTTTATGTCGATGGTTTTCGATCAGCCTGCTGAGTCATCTTCATCTGTCTGCGCCCTGGTTTTTCTCCGTCTGCCGGTGCTCTTTATTAAAACTGAATCAGTGTAACACACAAGGCCTTTTGCAAATCCTCCCTTAAAGAATTTAATGATCAAGTTTTTTTATGTGACTGATTACAGCCATGTTGATTCCACTGTTCACACTCAGAATTTAGCCGCATTCTACAATATGAGACTTCAAGTAAAATGGGAACAAAACAGTGGACTGTCACTTCATTGAGCAAACAGCGTCTCAGTTTCCTCCTCTGAGACAGCTGTACTGTTCACACACGAGTGTGCATCTCCCTGTTCTCTGTTGCTGCTTCACTCGTCTTCCCTCAGGACACGACCCGGATCGGCGAGGAGAAGGGGTGATGACCTCACCAGAGACGGCTGGTTGGAGCACTGCGAGTTCCTGTTGAAGAGGATGTCGTCTTTCACCAACACCGCCACGGCTCTCAGGATGAAGGAGAAGAAGAGGTTGAGGTGGATGTAGTTCCTGGTGCAGTGGAGCTTTCTGAGCAAGTGATACACAGAATACAGATAAAAGGATTCACAAAGAGATGTTACAAAACCATTTTTGTTTCATTTTCTTTCATTTTTTAGATTATTTATTATCTACTTTTTTTGTGCTGTTTTGCACTTTCATTGTATTTTTTTTCAAGATGTCCGGATAAAGGAGCTACTGATATGTTTTTTAGCGGACAGATTTTTACGATGGTCACAGATTAGTGATTTGTGTTTCTTTGCTCCGTTAATGATCTGGTCCAACTTCTAACAAGTCATCCTAAAAGCTAACTAATGGGGGGAAATCTAAGATGTATAATCATTCTCTCTTACCTGAATAGACAGAGGATGGCACTCCCTGTGGTTAAAGCGATCAGCGACAGACTGTGACCCAGAGTGTACAGCGTCTGCACGACCACATAGAAGACCAGCTGCAGACAAAGAGAGGCATGGAGCGGCGTTATGGGTCATTATTCCAGCACTTTTCTCAAAAGAAAGATACCTCTAAAACCCAACGAGCTTTAAAACTTCTGAATGAATGTCAGGTTACTGATGCAGAAGGTAATACATCTTAAAGGAGCAATATGTAACTCTGACTCCTAGTGTATAAAAAATGGGTACAATCCAAATTCAAAACTCTAGAGTTGATGCTCACTCAGGTGCCATGTGGTGGACACTGAAGCTTCAGTGTTTATCCAGCTCTGCATGGGTCTGTAAACCTTTCTGTGTTCTAGCCTCTCTCCATTTTTCAAAAGCATCTCCAATATTGATCCTAGTTTGAGCACGTTTCTGCTCGTGGAGCTTATTAGAAACATGCAGAGGCTTTTTAGGTCGGGTACAACCACTTTTATCTGAACCACTTCTCTTGCCCGCTGCTATCGTGCAACACCTGTTGGTAAACGACAAACAGAGGGGCTTCCAAAACGGCTGGGTGGGGTTGCCTTTAAACTGAATACCTTCTACCTTCTACAAACAAATACAGATCATTCAGGACCAAATAGATAATTTCTTAATTAAAGCTTTCTGTTTGTGTGGTTTGTCCAAGATTGTCCTGGTTTCAATCTTAGTGTCCTGACTCATTAAACACTAAATGTCTCTATTTAGAACCCAAGTAACAATATCAACTACAAGCAGTGAAAATTCTACTCTCATGGCATCCTTGGTTTTTAAATGATTTCTTGGCAGGAGTGCTAAGCCATGAAATATTGTCTCCAAACCAGAAGAATACGGCGGCGGTATGTAGTATATATGTGCATACGCTTGGATGTATTGACCCGCTTAAAGGTTCTGGTTGGAGGGTTTGAGGGTACTCTAGTTCATCACTTTGGTCCACATTAAAACCGCAGATGTACTGTTTGATAGATGACATTGGTTTCAAACACTCAAGTCTCCCTCAGGACGAATTCAGAATCCATCCTAAGACTTTGATTTATGAAAAAAAGATAGTGAAAGACATTTCAGTGCTTTCCACATAATCACAAGGAATAAGAGATTAAAATGGATACTTACAGAAGCAAATGTTAATAAATTAAATGATTTTTAAACGTAATTTACAACTCTTATGTTAAAATTAAATGACTGCTGATTTTGTTAATGATGGATAGGCTTCAGATCTGAAGATATCTGCTGCACTCGCTGCAATGAAAGTTCACAGATTAGTGCTGAAGTGAAATGACAGAAAGCATTACTAACATGAAGGAGAGAGGTAGAGAGAGAGAGAGAGGACATCACAATGGACGATTCAGAGCCATTCGTGACAAAAAAAAAGATGAGCCAGATAAGTGAACAGGACGGAGCTGCAGCCAAAAAAACAGGAACCCACTGGACGGATCAAGGTTTAACTTAGTGTGAGGACAAAGACACCAAAACCTTGATACAAAGACATAAAAACCTTGATACAAAGACATAAAAACCTTGATACAAAGACATAAAAACCTTGATACAAAGACACCAAAACCTTGATACAACGACATAAAAACCTTGATACAAAGACACAAGAACGTCGATACAAAGACACAAAAAACCTTAATTCAAAGACACAAAAATCTTAATTCAAAGACAAAAAAACATTAATTCAAAGACACAAAAAACCTTAATTCAAAGACACAAAAAACATTAATTCAAAGACACAAAAAACATTAATTCAAAGACAAAAAACATTAATTCAAAGACAAAAAACCTTAATTCAAAGACACAAAAAACCTTAATTCAAAGACAAAAAACCTTAATTCAAAGACACAAAAACCTCGATACAAAGACACAAAAACCTCGATACAAAGACACAAAAACATTGATACAAAGACACAAAAACATCGATACAAAGACACAAAAACATCGATACAAAGACACAAAAACATTGATACAAAGACACAAAAACATTGATACAAAGACTGATATTCTTTCACTTTCTCTGTAACATTTTAAATTAAGGACACAATATTCACCAACACTTATTAGCATGCTAATTAGTAGTATACAGGCTACTTATTAGTAATTATAGAGCACTTATTAGTACCTTATTTTGCATGACCATAGTCTGTAGCTAATAAAAGCCATTAAAGGAAGAATAAGCGATTTTTTGATCCATTAGATGTCGCCATAGAGCTCCAGCATGAAACCAAAACAAACTGCTGTTTTGAATTCTCCACTAATCCTCCAGCGACACACCTCCAACCCCTCTCCACTCGTGTTCACACAAAGGAGTGTAGAGCAAGACAAAATTGTTTCAGGTCGTGCTCCATAATCCAACAGTAAATGTGCCACATCGTAAACGATTCACTGTTACAGTGTTAGATGACATTTCACTGTGACATTTATACGATCGTACAGAGTATGCAAACGGCCAGGTCTCTCGTGCAACGCGGAAAAAATCCACTTGTACAGTTATTGAACATTTGGCTAACCTGAGTGTCTGCCTACCCACAAAATGTGAAATAAACCCATCCAGTCCTTTGTTTGTGGTCTGTATAAGTCTTACAACACAGAGAAAAATGCTCCGTTTCAGATTTGCTCTCCTTGTGATGTCACAGTGGGATTCTCGTAAATAAAAACCCTCCCCTCCCCTGGACTCCACCCCCAGCCTAGAGCTAAACTTTTTTGCAGCATTGCCATTTTTATTCTCTCTACAGAGGAGTGATGTCTACCGGGAAAACTCAGGGGGCGGGGTCACTGCATTTAAAGAGACACACACACCAAAATGGAGCGTTCTGAGAGAGCTGGTTTATACAGGGTCACAAACCTCCTCTGGTGCTTGATTCATGTTATATTTTGAACAAAGCACAGCACAGATGTTTCATTTAGATCACAGGGGACTGTGATCTGTGAAAAAACTGTGGGAAAAGCTGGAGAAGGGGGGGATAATATGTCCTCTTTAGGTCCCATATTATGCTTTTTCTGGTTTTATATGCTCTTTAGTGTGTTTTCCAAGTGTCCTGTGCATGTTTAGGCACATCTATGTGCAAAAATTCAAAGTCCGCGGAAACGCGGCTTCTCCTACGTCCTCCTGTTAGCTGTAGCATTAGCTGCATGTAACGCTCGGTTCTAGCCCCCCTCGATAAAAATATGTCAGTGCGGCGTCATTGTCAGTGTGAGATCACTGATCTAAGTCCATTGGCTCATTGTGGCAAGCCCTGCAGCTCATGTTGAAATTTGGCAACTGACCAATAACGACAGAGCGGATCGGCGGACCAATCAGAGTAGACTTGGCCCACGTGGGGTCTAACAGTCTGGGCACAGCAGAGCGTAGCTGACGGACTCAGGGCGTAGATGGAGCAAGGAGGAGCAGTACATGAAAACAGACACTTTTTTCGAATTTTAGCTATTGTGAACGTACAAAAGTAGGTACATAGATTAAATATACGAAAAGGGCAGAATATGGGCTCTTTAAATATATATTTTTTCCATGCAAATGTATGAAAAAGGAAGGGGGGTTTTAAAATGGGTTTTGTTAACTCCTCCTTTTAGAAGTTCTGTTCCCCTTCACAGAACATTGATAACAGAGTGTGTCCAGCATGTGATGAAAGAAGGTGTTTTGTGCTTTGAATAAACGTTCGTATCCGATGTGAAAACACTGATTAGAGAGTTGGAGGACTAAAAGAAGAGAGACTGTTTTGTTGCCGTGATCACTGTTCTTTTTACTCTGTGCCAGAAAAATTCCTGTTTTGAAAATCAGAACAAAGACATTGAAATGTTCCCAAAAGATATGTGTGTGTGTGTGTGTCTCTGTGTGTGTGTCTGTCTGTGTTGTGTGTGTGTGTGTGTGTGTGTGTGTGTGTGTGTGTGTCTCTGTGTGTGTGTCTGTCTGTGTGTGTGTGTGTGTGTGTGTGTGTGTGTGTGTGTGTCTCTGTGTGTGTGTCTGTCTGTGTTATGTGTGTGTGTGTGTGTGTGTATGTGTATGTGTCCTGTTGTCTTGCTTCCTCAAATAAAAAAGGTGTTTGATTTCCCTTCCTGAGCTCCTCCTCAAAGTGAAAATAAAAAAAAATCAAAGTGTGTTTGTTTGAGATGACGCTCAAAAATATGTGACGTTAAAAATGTGTCTCCTGTGAGAGAGAGAAAGAGAGCGAAAGAGAGAGAGAGAGAGAGAGAGAGAGAGAGAGAGAGATGTCCAATATCATGGATGCAGAAGTGCAAAATTCTCGCACCAACTGAAACGGCTCACTGTGTAAAGCCTGTCTTATATTCTCTCCGGTCTGTCAGGTATTTTTGGTTGTTCCTGTTATCGTTCCTTTTATTTTGGAACTGCATATCTGGAAATCAGTGGCATGCTTTTCTAAACAAACACAACGTAGCATTTAAGAAAAGATAAAAGATAAAACATGAAGTCTGTTCTGTGGATGTCACAGTGTGGTTCTCCTCCAAGGTCTGTTTTCAGAGAAAATATGAGCAGTGAGTTTCTGTCTAAGTGGTTCCTGTCTTTTTCTCGTGTCTAGCCTGTAATGGTACAGCTCAGAAATGTTTGAAATGAGTTTTTTTACGAGATGTCTGAGTCCTTCTCTTTCACACAGCCATCCTCGTCCTCCAGTAATTCATGAGAAGTCTCTGAGAAATACATGCCCTCTCCTGTCCTCAAAAGTAAAAGTGCTGGAGGCGGATGACGAAAAGAGACTGCTGTTCAGAGGACTTGGGAGACGAGATGAGGAGGAACAGAAAGAGAAGAAGAGTTGAAGAGGTAAAAACTGAAGGTCGAAAAGCGAGAGAGCGACAGACATGCGGGGGAAATTGAGGGGAGAGAGTTAATTGAACAAGCACAATGGGTGATTCAGAGAAGGGCCGGTCGTGACCCGAACTGAACTGAGGTTCGGGAGCAGCAATTATCACAGTCAAGGCCAAATCAGGTCAAACGTTCTCCTCAACACAAACTCATTTTCCATCTGCTTCCTCAAACAGGTTCAGGTGAAGAAGGAGTCACATCGCATCCACAAGATATGACAAAACTACGTTGGTACCCTCAGGTATATGGTACTGAAGATTATCCACAATAAGATAACATTTCTGTATTCTCAGTCATCACCGTGTTGGAGCAGATCCAAATCAGAACAAAAACGGGGCACGCATCTCGTGCTAGCTTGCAGACATCTCAGGTTTGGAGATCAGGAGGCAGGTAGACTGATAAAAAATGGGTAAATTATACCTTTAAAATAAACGGTCCTTTCGTCAATAAACCTGCAATCTTCTCTGCAGGAAGCGCCAAAAACTATCCTACAAATACATCACTGCAAGGCGATAACTAAAGGAGGTAACAAGCCAGTTATGGGGGCGTCGGAGGGCCTAGCGGTTATGTCACGCTTGGCCCATGTGCCGTGGGTTTGAATCCGACCTCAGTCCTTTGCTGAATGTCATCGCCCACTCTCTCTCCTCACAACAAATCAATAAAGGCAAAAAGGCCCAAAAATTAACTTAAAAACCAAAATACAAAAGAAAAATACAAACTAGTTAAGGTGAGCAAAGGCTGTGATACCTGCTAATTAGTCCTAGCATATAAAGATCCTTGAGCTCAGAATTTTTGGATAATTTGTAAAACGAATAATTGACAACCCAAGACATGATTCTCCAAGAGGCTGCAACAACAGAGGTTAAGTTTAGTAACTGGATCAGCTGTGTTTATGTCTAGCAAATAGACAGCAGTCACTCCAAGAGGCCACGCCCCTGCTAACGTATAATGTTAGCATTCACATCTTTTTGAAAGGTGCTGTAGCAATCTAAACTGTTTTGTGCACCTGGCTGTAAACATTTTTATTTTGGCTGCAGAGTTGAGAATTTTAAAATGGGCCCAAATGAGGACTGATACATTTTTGTAGCCAGCCTCGAGTGGCCACTTTAGGAACTGCAGTTTTTGGCACCTGCACATTTCCCTAATTTTTCATTCACTAAAGCTGTTTTTTTTACATATGCCCCCCTTTTACAAATATCTAGATCATTTCAGGAGGACTGCTCTGGATGTTCTCCTGACCTGGCTGTTCCCATATGCTCCTCACAGCAGGAGACAGCAACAAAAAACAGGAGAGTAAAAGACAACAGACGTTTACTGTACCTTGTCCTTGCTGGTGTCTGACCCACACACGCTGGAGATGTTCGGGAAAACATCCGACCATTCCCCTGACGAGCAGTTCCTGCTAATGTTACCTGTGAGAGAAGAAGAGATTAAGTACACAAAATGATCTGCGCACTTCATCTTCTGAAGCATCTGAAACCTTCCTCCTCTTGTCTTCGTTAAACCTCAAAAAATGTTTTAGAAAAAGTCTGAAAAAAATGATGGTCAGGACATAAAGGTGGGGCTGAACAAAAAAAAGACAGTAAACAGATTTTTTTTTTAAAACTGCAGTTCCTTCAGAGGCCACTTGAGACTAGCTCAGAGCATGAGTCAATCCCCATTGATCCAAATATAAAGATTTCCAACTTAACAGCAGAACTTAAACACGTTTACAGTGTGGTAAAAATAAAAAGCTTAGATTTGCGGTCTGCATTGAACCTTTGCCCGAGCTACAGTTGCCTGTGTCCTGCATTGTTGTGTTAGCATGCTAATGTTAGCGCTCTTTAGTTAGCTCATAGCTTCATATTGCACATAAATTGACACAGAATAAGCGTGATCTAAAAACTCTTACTAACATCCAAATAATCAGTGAGTATGTTCTTCTTCTTCTCTCTAGTTCTTGACTAAAACAGCTTTTATACACAAGGGGAGGAGCCGGCCGTCCCGTCCATGTAAACATGGCTCTGACAACAACACAGCCAGCGGGACTCGAGCTTCTCGCTCATTGTAGACAGTCAGGACTCAGAGAGACATTCACACTGGACAGACTTTATGATTTATTGATGTGTAAAATGTTTCACATCCTTCCTTTAAAGTAACATTACCCAACACTGGTCAACACACATTTATGCAAAGTGATATTCTTTAAGGCACATCGAGCTCCTGAGGGGTATTTGATCGTGTGTTCTTATTACAAAATCCCTGCAGTGCACTGAAAGTTCATCTCGTTTGGAAATTCCCAGAATGCATTGTGAAGAAGAACTAAGCATCTCTGGCTCAGTGACTGGAAATAACGTCACCACACTTCTGCTTCAGCACACTCTCAACAAACCGTCCTCACAGTGTCACAGCGGGGTAAACACAGCTGAAGCTCGGGGAATGTTTAACAGTATTTACATGTTGATGTTTCAGCTAACGGGAGACAATACTGTTGTAACATGACTGTGAAGTCCCACAGCAGCAAACTGACCAAACTGTTACTTTTGAATCTACATATTGGTGCAGCTTTGTTATTCATGTTGATGTTTGTTGGAGAGTTTTTAGTATTTGCTACACTAGTGGGGATGTGGTAATGTATTTAATACAAATAAAGATAATAAAGACATTTAATGTAATTCAACCAGCTCAATCTGTTAAATGCTACTTATAAAAAATGTCGCATTTTTATCAACAGTCTATGCTGATTATGATAACTGTTGATAGTGAGCTCCCAAGTTTAAATAAAGGTTGAACGTATTGAGAAAAAATATCTATAGAATAAGCTTAAAGGAGCAATATGTAACTCTGACACCTAGTGTTTAAAATGGATACTGAAGTCATTTAGTTATTTTGATTACATCATTAAGTCTAAAACAAGAGACATTCAGACGTCAGGATGCTGCAGATGAGATGTGTTCACTTACATAATGAGTCTTTAGTATTTCTTTGAAATGATGTCACTTCAGGAGGGTTAAAATCTGTCCCACACAGAAGCGTCAGTGTGAGCGTTTGGCTGCGAACAAGCTGCCAGGTTCTTACAAATGTTCAGCCCTCAATGTAAATCAGAGCACGGCTCATCCAAACCGCCATCTGGTCACCGGGCTGGACAAGGTCTGACTGATCAGCAGGGAATTCACTGCACACATTCATACGTTACAGAGGGTAAGAAGAGGGGAATGCACGAGGTAAAACGAGGATAGTTTGAACTCTGAAGCTCGCTCTACACTTCGATCAGTTAGAGTCAATGTTTTTGCTTTAACAGTGAGTTAAAGTTGTTGTTTGAAGATATGCAAAGAAAAGAAGTTGAGGAAGATATTGAACGGCTCAGGAGCTCCTTCAGTGAGCGATTAGTGATGCCACCACTGCAGCCACAATCTACGCATCTGTCAAGACCATCTACAAAGAAAAAACAGCGTCTTTTAACTTATCGTTTGAGGATTCACTGAACTCTCCTGATTTCATTAATCTACCCAAAATGAGTCATCATGATTTTTAATCTAGTGAAAGGTTTAATCCAAACACATAAAATCCATAAAGATCCAGAGAACTGTTCAAAAAAACTCAGCTAATCTGCTGAACTTTTGATGACACCTCATAACAGCCAATGAGAGCCTTTGTTGAAAGGAGGTGCCTCCCCCTGTTCTGACGTCCATTTGCACGAGTCTTGTAGCCAATTAAATTTTCTTAACATGGATCTTGCTGCTTCTATCAAGTGTCTGACAACAAAACTACACAAAGAGCAGCACCTCCACCTCAGCTCAAAGACGTCCATGCACAATATATCCACAGAAAAACAGAAATAAGTGCACACACTCGTGAGTTATTATTGACTGTGAATGAATGAACAACTCACCATTTCTGCCAAAAACTGTCCTGAGAACTCGGGGACACGGGATGGTGATAGTCTTTCCGGACTCAGCTCTCTCCCAGCATGCAATGTTGTCCCACTCGCCTTTACATCCCGACCCTGTCAAAAAACAAAACAAAATAAAAACAGTCGCTAAGATGCTAAGACTGCTCCATTATGTTTTCTCCGCTCCTTTCTCATTGTAATAGCTTTGATTGATACTAATTTTGAAAAACAATCATTGGCATCTTGACTGTATGACCTGTTAATTTTGTTTCTGGATGGCAGACGTTAATAAAGGGATGTGCTGACTGACATGAAAGGCTTCTGTACCGCTTTTGAGTCACGCTGACTGACCCCCGCAAAGAGACAAACACGTGCAGACGACCACGATTCTGTTGAAGTAGAACTTTGTGACTGCCGTGAGACGAGGTTGAACTGACATGTGGAGGATTTAGAAGCAATCAGGGAGACTTCATGAATAAAATAAAAAACAACAACACACAAACAGCCTCCCCTCAAAAATAGCTCTCCCAGGTCCCTGCATGAGTTTTAATGGGTGCAAAAGTGCTGACGGCGAAACTGAGCAGTCGACAGTCAGCGATAGATGAACAGAGACAGTGTGTTGGTAAAATGAAGCTGCCGTCTCAACGTCCCGGCTGAAGAACCACACAGACAAGACAGACTGCTACGAGGGCATCAGACCATAAAGAATGAAGAAAAAAAAGAAATTGCTATAAAAAGAAAGCTATTAGTGTCAAGACGAAATATTCCAGCTGAAGGCGATGATATTCAGAACAGACCAGCATGGTTTTCTTCATCTTTGTCCTCCTTCCTCCATTAAGGCTCTGATGGTGTGTGAAAATGTTGTGGTGCATATAGGACAGAAGTTTTCAAAAGTGTTGGGAAAGTGAGCCTCCCCTGAAAGGACACAGCGTCCAGGAGGCGTCCTAACCAGATGCCTCCTTTCCACTCCAACTTGGCTCCTCCTATCTCTAAGACTGAGCCCCGACACCCGCTTTGGGAAACTAATTTAAGCCGCTTGTATCCGCGATCTTATTCTTTTGGGCACAACCCACGGCTCGTGACCCTGGGTGAGGATTGGAACGAACATGGACCGCTGAATCGAGAACTTTGCCTCCCTTCTTCAATATTAAAAATGAGGGTCAGAAGCATAAGAGGCTAAAGACTTAGGATAATATGGTCTAATATGCCGTCTCCTTAAAGGGATACTTCACCCGTTGAAACATGAATCTGTATTGACATTGGGAAATACATGTAGTAGAAATGTGAAATAAATTTTGAAGTTGGAAAAGGCAGAAAGTGTCTTTTTGGCTCATGTGGATGAAAGACACCAAACCCCAGAATGCACAGCACCCCGGCAGCAGTCGTCTCGCCGCTATATTTGTTTTTTTGCCATTATCAGCTTTCTCCATAGAGCCTGTTAGCATAGCTTCCAAGCAATATGGCGGACGTTAAGTTTCAATTCTGGGAGTGAGTTCCCACCCACTGATCTGTGATTGGTCCGTAGCTTCAGTGGTCGAAAATATGAGGAACTGGTGTTGTAGTTTCACACTGCTAACTGCAACAGCTTCCAGTGACGCAAAAATCGTCATTCTGCGTCACTGGAAGCTCCTTTAGACTCAGAAATACAAAGATTTCCCGTCTCAGGAGAAAATGAGGGCGGGATGCACGACCATTCAAAAATACTACCAGGTTTCTAATGATACAAAGATTAATGCAAATGGGTGAAGTATCCCTTTAAGGTTGTTCTGACCTCCCACTTCAATGCATTTTTCATTTTGTCTCCTGTTTGATTTATAGCGTAGTAGCTGAAGAATTGTCTTCTCCTCTTGCCTCGCCGTCGACGCTCGACATTCAGTTCATCAGATCACTGAGCAGATTTTTCAAAAGACAAGCCGGAGATTAGAAGAAAGAAGTGAATGTTCAGAGGTCAACAAGTTGTGAAAGAAAGGGACAAACAGAAACACAGAGAGCGAGAGAGAGAGAGAGACAGAGAGAGAGAGAGAGAGAGAGAGGAAGCAGATGTCTTTGGGGTAAAAACAGCTCTAATACAAATCTGAAGTCATCAGTGCATACCCGCTAAGTGAGCCTTCCTCTTTGTGTGTGCTTTCACAGAAACTCTGAGAAAGACATCGGGGGGGGGGGGTGGTTGAGGTGGTTAGCTTGGCCTACTTTGATTCATTCAGTACAACAGACTTGTACATCCCTGTAGTAGTGCAGTATTCAAAATACTCACAACGACGCTACGTTAGTAACGTTTTGGTACTGAAACGTTGAGGATGTACTCTTGCAGTGTGCGAGAGTTTGCCTACTGTTCTTGTCAGCTTTGGTAACTTTTTCTCACCCTTAAAGGAATATGCAACTTTTTCATCCAGCAGATGATATTTTCTGAACTTTTTTTTTCTGAAAGGAAAAAAATGGGTCACTGGAATGGGTCCTGTTTGGAGCTAATGGGTCCTGTTTGGAGCTAAAAAGCTACCAGGAGAGTTACCGTTTCACTGTTTCGGCCCACCATCATAACTTTGCGCGTACCATTTTATCTTCAAATATTGTTCCAAATTTTCCAATGAGGACAGTTTGTGTATAGAGTTATGAACATATACCACATAACCTGTACACTTCTCCAACTTTAACATTTCTCAAAACTCCATAGTGCACCTTTAATGTTAATTTTGGTGATTTATTGTTACTTTGTTGTTCATTTTTATCTCTGCTTTTTAAGGTGATTGTTTTAAAGGGCGCCTTTATATAAAATGTATCATTATTATTAAGTGAAAACAAGAAATGAACAATTTGCCAATGAGGAAGTGCAAAAAAAGCTGCAGTTCCTAAAGTGTCCACTTGAGACTGGCTCCAAAAGACCAACAACTCCAATACACACCCCATATTAAAATGTCAATTTTGAAAGTAGAAATTAACATGTTAACAGCCTGGTACAAAAAAATGGTTTTGGTCTTAGTTCATTTTTTTCATCTGCACACACTGTACGGTGGGTGAATTTCTTTATAACTCACAGATTTTGATTTCATGAAGGATTCGAGTTATACTTAAAGGTGTGATGGTCTTCGCTTTGAGTAGCCGCGTTGTTGTGAGGAGGCTTAAGGTCCGCCTCAGCTCCAGCTCTTTGCCTCTCATCATGGTTGACCACATGTTTGATCGAGTCCTCATTTCCAACATGGCAGCCACCATGGATAAGCTTCTAAAACATCCCTTCAGAAAACCAATGGCCAACATCACTCAAGCTGCTTCCATTAAAGTTTTGAGTCTATGGAAATAACAGAATATTGTTTGCCTCTCTTTTGATTTTCCCCTAGTTTAACATTGAAGTTTAAGTTCTGGTATCGTCACAACTACTTGTTTGGAAAAGCAAAATGATCCTGATTTTTCAGTCTAAACCCGGGCCCTGTTTGTTGAAGAAGTCGGTGTCATGTGAGGTTTGGAGGGCCGATCCCCCCCACCCCCCGATAGAGCTCAACGTTTAAGCGTCTTGTTTGGAGATGTTAAGCAGAGCTGCAGAATCAGACAAAAGCATGAGAGCCTGTTAGCCCGAGCGAATGAAAGAAATCAACTCTGAAAGAAAACTGCTTTTCCCAGCAGATTTTTTTTCCCCCGTGGACAATTTGAGCCATGTTATTATTTAGCTCTTCTTCGTGTCATTGAGCTTTAATTAACACAGCAGGGGGGGACTCGGTTGTCCAGAGAGCAAAGTCAGCCTCGTTAACACTGCAGGAACACTCAGGCTAACACAACACTGCTTTTTTAGGCTTCACTGTCGCGTCTGTAAAACACACACACACAAAAAACCCCAACTCATAATTAATTTGTTTTACGTGCACAATCCGCCTCACATAAGACCGCCGACTGCGCGTAAGAAGATAATTACCGTAAGTACATGACATGACTGCATGAGCATTTTAGAGGTAGATAAGCTGCTGAAACATCCAGAAGGAAAAAAGGAAAGTTTGATCAAACCGTCATATTTTAAACTAATCTTTTAGCCGATGATACTTCTTCTATTCTTCTCATTACGTCATGCCCCCTTCAATACTCACTTCATTTGTTTGCTCCTTTGGATTCATTTATGGTTTTATTCATTTTTGAAGGTTTTTAATTAAGCAGTTTCTCTTCTCGATTTATTACTTTTGTCTCTTTTTATTGAGTTCTGTTCCTTTTCACTGCTCCGAGTGCTTTTACCTTTTCATTGCCTTGAATCTATTTAAAGCTTTGGCTGTTTTCGTTTATTTCCATTCAAAGCTAATACGACCCCCTCTTATCTAATTTTAAAAATATTTTTTAAGAAATCTCTTTAACAGCATCTTACCACTTTTTTATTGTCTCTTTCTCTTTTAACTGCTCACTTATCTTCTTGGATCTTCAGTCCCCTTGGTCTCGAGTTGCCTGGGTTATTATGAGTTATATTGAGTTATTATTGTTGCTGATGATGTCCGGGGGTTCTGTTGTTTGTCGGGTTCAGTTGTTGTTGGATTCTTAGGCTTTATGCTCCTTCTTGTGTCAAAGCACTTTGTGAAACCCTTGATTTAAAAAAAAAAGGTCCTGACTCCCAGCAGCCACCATCGGACTGTGTTGTCCCCTCAACCACCGCCGTCCTCATTCATGCACATCCTGCTCTGACCCGACCTTAGGGGCAAGGAAGAGTGGACAACAGGAACCCAAGGAATATAAATCCTTCCTGCATATGATCCCATATGCTCTTTTGTAAAGCATCTCGAGATAACACTTGTTTATTTTAAACTCAAACTAACTGGATTTTACATCAGTAAGTACAGCTACAGTTTATTTCATTATTAAGAAGGAGTCAAGGCAATTCAGCGCCTGGATAATGAAGCAAAAAGTATGTTTTCACCAGGACAGAAATGTCAGAAACAAGTATTCTTTACAGGAATGAGTCTTGCTTGAGAAGAAGAACTAGTAAAAAGATTGTGCAGGCCTCATTGTTTCCAGTTTTGGACAATGGAGACGCTCTATGAAACTGTAAGGATGTCATTCTTCAAAGTGCTCTTCGTTTTATCAATGGTGACAGTTTGTGTACTCACCCATGCGACCTGTATCACTCTGTGTAGCATTTTGTTTATTATTTACACAAGGCTCTCATTGGTCAACTACCCCCCTTACCTGACTTCCCATCCGTCTACAAAAAACCTCTATCTGTACCACCAGAGCTCTAAACTGGGTCAGTCTAAAAATACAGAGTTAGGGGCTTAATGGGGAAAGAGTGCTTTTTAGTGTGGCTGCAGCGTGCCACACAGCGCCGAGACACAAGAGCCCCCGCAGTAATTATAAATGAAACGCGTAACAGCATCAACAAACACACATAAGGTTGTTGTTCTGAGCCGTTAAAACAGAGTGTTTCATTCTGACATTTAACCAGATGTTTTTATTGTTGTTTCGGTGTCTGACTTCCTGTCCCGCTCGATCTGCTCTGTGGTTCATTAATGCGCCGTACTCCAGATAAAATAAAAGCTTTGCGCATCTTTTGCAGACGGGGAGCCAGTGGAAGCACACACATGGACTAAAGTATAAACAGAATGTTTTATTCTGAAAATGATGTTTTAATGCTCTTTCAGTGTCTTACTTCCTGTCCCTCTCGGTCTGCTCTGTGGTAAATTGATGCGTTGTGCCCCGGCATCTGGCAGAAATGACTAAATTAAAAACAGAGTGTTTTATTCTGCAAAAGTAACCGGGTGTTTTGAATGTTGTTTCAGCGTCTAACTTCCTGTCCCACTTGATCTGCTCTGTGGTGAATTGATGCACCGTGCTCCAGCACCCGGTAAAAAGAGAAGCCTTGACTATATTTCAAATCTGACCAATCATGCATCTGATGGAATTTAGGGGTTAGTTTCCACCTCTGGTTTCACACAATGTTTTTAAAGAGCGTGTGACTGAACTACTGAAGGAAAGTCTTTGCAAGGTAACTCTTCAACCAGAGCGTATTTGCATCAGTCAGTGTGTGTTGATGAATGCTTTTGTTGTTACTTTAATCTGTGTTATATATGCATTTTTTATCGTCTTCTTCTATCCTTTCATGGCATTGCTGCAGGGCACTCCTTGAAAAGAGACCTCACACCTCTCTGTGTGTTCTCCCTGCTGAATAAAGGATAAATTAAATTAAGATTCATAACGTGTACAGGACAGTGTTTGTGTTCTGACATACATTTATCAGGCGTTTATTTCTGTTTCGCACAGTTCATCATACAACAGATTAGATTGGCTTTATCAAAAACTGTGCAGACACTGCAGAATCCTGGCGTTCAACATCAGATTTCTAAAATACATAAAGGAGGATTCTGTGTATGTTTAATTTTAGTCTTGTCTATATTCGGTCAGGCGGAGTAACAATCTCATAATTCAACATGAGATATAATCTGATTAGTCATCTTCAGAGGTCAGGTGAGGTTCCACATTCCTCGCTGCGTCCCACAGAAACTCTGAGCCCGGCATGCATTCATTCAAAAGGAGACAAAAAATGGCCTGACCTGGAATCTGCTGCTGGTTTCATTTTATGCAGAAAAACAGATCAAATGTTGGACAGAATACAAAATGTGGGATTAAACGCTGATGTGAAGGCTGCTCACGTCCTTACATGGCAAAGGTTTGAACATCTTTACTCTACCTGTTCTCCATCTTGTTTATTTTTAAATAAAGCTTACAAAAGTTTTGAAAAAATGCAATCGTGATTATTCTCCAAATTTCTAAAGTTAATAACGATTAATCACATATTTAATTGCATGTTTCAAATTCCATTATTTCCTATAAGAAATAGAAATTGTTAGGCTTTTATTTTGAAATTGTATACTGTCTAGAGCTGGGAGTACTTTCCTTGCTGTCTTAATTCAACCCTGCTTTTATTTTGAAATACAGTAAGGCCCTTCCTGTAGATGGACGGTTAGGACATGAAGTTAAGCACAGAAACAGGAAGTAGTTAGGGATCCCAAACTGATGTCAAACATCTCAAAGGAACGGTAACAAAGGTCAATGTGTGATGTCATGAGGTCAATGTGTGATGTCATAAGGTGGATATGACTTTGGACTCGTCAGCTGAGCTGTCTGAGAGTTTGTTAAAGTGAAATGAGACATTCAAAGATGCAGCAGTGTTCTTCTTTTACATCACTGAGACTACAGGGAGACACTGAGGACCACTATCTACAGAGAGCCTGAAGGGACAAAACAACATGAGATTAACCATGATTAAAAAACGTTTTTAGTGAGTGATTCTGACCTGTACTACTGCCCGCTGACTCCTCCTCCTCCTTCAGCCTCCGCAGACACTCCACCTGGTCTCTCTCCACCTCCAACATAAAGTTACAGGTCGGGTGTCGTCCGGCCACCTGTGGAGGAAAAGACTTGTGTGTTACATCGGCTCAAAGTGGCGTCCATGCTGCATCAACCAGGAGATCATTACAACATCTCTTTTTCAGAGTAACATAGAGAGAATAAATATACAAACGTTACATTTGAACAAACATTTGATGTGATTTCAAACATTAAAATAACTCAAAGACGTGTCGTTTGTAATTGTTGCTTAACGTTTACCTTTTTTAAGGAGAAATTAAGAAAACATTCAAATGAATATGGTAAAATTTAAACATTATTAAGTACATGTTATGAAGCTTTATTTATTTTATTTTTTTAAAGATTTATTTTGGGCTTTTTCGTGCCTTTAATTCAGAGGGAGGACAGTGGATAGAGTCAGAAACCAGGGAATGACATGCGGAAAGGGCCACGGGTGGAAGTGAACCTGGGCCTACCGCTTGAGACGAGAGTCTCGACACAGGGGACGTGCACCCTGCCACTGCGCCACCAGCGTGACCCAATGAAGCTTTTTTTTTAAGTTGCCTCTGAAGTAGCGTTTCTCTTGAGTGAATTAACTTCACAAAAGTGAGAGTTAACAGCTCGGTTTGTAGGGACTTGGATTGGGAACTGGAGGGTCACTGGTTTAAGTCAAACCAAGTCTGGAAATGGTTCTGCAAGCTGGAACCAGTTCACTTCCTAAGCACTGCAAAGGGGCCCTTGAGCATGGCACCGATGGGGGGGCCTGTAGTTAGGTTGACTGAAAGACAGAATTTCCAGCATGGAGACCGCCATCGATGGGACTCTGACACCCCCTGCAGGAACAGACGGGTGACATCACTCAGGCTTCATCCATTCATATTTACAGTCTATGCTAACAACAGATGGATCTCTTGATTCCTGAGACACCTAAAGCTATATGGCGGAAATCCTAAATATGTTACATGACTCCTAAACATGACATTTGACGTTGTCTTATTTTATACTTTCAATCAGATGTTTTTAATTTAGGCGCTGCTTTTTATTTCGCCTGTTCAAAACACTGCAGGCTGCACCGACTATCAAAGGGAGTTAGCGTTAGATGCTAGGGAAGTTGCTTGTTGCCCGTTGAGCCGAACACGTACAAACTGAACCTTGACCTCTATGCACGGTTACACTCCCATCAGTGTGTGTATTTCTTCATGTTGTCGTCCATTTTCTGTTTTCATGTAAATAGTTTAAAGGATGTCGTTGGACGAGGCGCACAGAAGGAAAATCACAGTTATGATTAACAGATAAATACACAGTCAAGATAAGCTGCTTATAGCAACTCCCTGTGCACCATGTGTGTGTGTGTGTGTGTGTGTGTGTGTGTGTGTGTGTGTGTGTGTGTGTGTGTGTGTTTAAAATCAGCAGACGCAGATGAACTAATGTTCTGTGAGCCACGTAAATCCTGCAGCGCAAACAACAAACCACAACAACCCACCATCCATATTTTGGAATCACAACATCAGCTTCAGTGTGTGTGTGTGTGTGTGTGTGTGTGTGTGTGTGTGTGTGTGTGTGTGCATGAGTTTAAGCTGCACTGTGATGATCACACAACATATTCAGTTTATGCAGTGTGTGTATTTGTTAAAGAAATAAGCGCCTGGTCTGATTCCAGCACTAATAAAGAGCTGTGTTAATGCTGCGGTCTGGTTGCATCACGGCTACATGAGGAATATTCTGATGTCACGGGCACACAAGAGGCCGAATACAACACGCAAACGAAAACACTTATTGCCAACAGATTTAATATTCCTCAAGTTTAAAGGTCCAATCTGTAAGATATCTACTGAGTGAAATGATAAAGGAACCTTACTCTATGATCAGACATTAAGGAAACATGCTATGTTGAAGTGCTGGCTTCTCTGACAACAATGCAGCAGCCAGTATGTCCTCCTTCTAACTTTAGATTCTGCTCCTGAATGCTCTGGATTTGTTTGGACCAGAGAAGGTAGGCGCTTTTAAGGCTGACCCCCACACGGCCGTTTTGGACGCCCCTCGGTTTGTCAGATATGAGAGCAGTTATCAGGTCAACAGGTGTTGCAGCGATGGAAGCGGTCAAGAGAAGTGGTTCAGATAGAAGTGATTGTACCCGACCTAAAAAGCCTCTGTAGCTGTCACAGCACAACTTCATGCAATTTCATGTTGAACCAGAAGTGTTAGGTGCATCCACTACAAAAATCTATTCATCAAAGATCAAACGTTCTTCCTCAGAGAACACGTGAAGATCCCTGCACAGAAAGAAAAGAAGGAAGCACAGAGCTTTGATCTGTTGCTCTGTCTTTCTTTCACACGAGTTCACCAGTCTGCGTCAGATTGTTGCTTTTTGGTGGCTTCATCCAACTTCACCTCCTTTTCCATTTCACTCCTCTTTCTTCTTCTCCTCCTCGCCGTACATCTCCTTTGATGTTTAAAGTCAAAGACATTTGTAAGCCTGAGTGGCGTACCTGTCTCAGACCGGTGTGTGTGCTGACAGCAGGTTCACATCCTTTAGAAGCTTCACACACAGACACACACACTTTACTATGAATGGATGCTGCTGACTTTGATGCCCATGTAAAATCTAAATACTCACCACAGTGTAAATCTAAAAGAGTTAATTATTTTATCTTTTTAATTTTACATACTTTAATATTCCCTGAGGGAAATTCCAGTTCATACTCTTGTTATTGTGGCATCTCACACACATAGACCCAAATCACACACATGCACAAACAGGACCTGTGGACATGCATTAGTGGAGAGATGTCTGAGTGGGACTGCTACGCAGGGAGCACACCACAATTAATGCGGTTTGGTGCCTTGCTCAAGGGCGCCTCTGCAGTACTCGGGAAGTGCCCTGTCACCTCTCCAGTTACCAGAACCAACTTCCATATTTTAGTCCACACCAGAACTTTAACCAACGACTCTCTGGTTCCCAACCCAAGTCCTTACAGACTGAGCTACTTCCGCCCCAACAACACACAGGTTGCATTGGAAAGGGTCTTTTTTGGCACTTAAAGATTTCCAGTTCAAGTCTGACTTTACCATCAGACATCAGAGCAAGCTGTGTTGAAGTGCTGGCTTCTCTGACAACAATGCAGCAGTCAGTATGTCCTCCTTCTAACTTTAGATTCTGCTCCTGAATGCTCTGGATTTGTTAGGACCAGAGAAGGTAGGCTGTTTTTAAGGCGACAGGTGTTGCAGCGATGGAAGCGGGCAAGAGAAAAGCTTCTATCTCCACATCATCTACGAAACATTTCACATAATGGTCCTAACTCGATGATGATGATGGTGATGATGGGAATGGGAGGATGGGTGGAAATGAGAGTTTGCGTGCAGAGACAATGAGTCAGATTGGTGCCTGTGGCGTCTCATGGTTCATCACTGCAGAGAAAACATCAAACGCTGAATTTGTCGGCCATCATGTTTGACCTCCAACAAATGACATTCTTCTTCAAAACCTTTAGGAGACGGCTTCAGCGAAAGCTTCAGTCCAGGTGTTTGAAACTTCAACTAGCAGTGCCAACCACACATGTACAAACCACTGATCCACCTTTTTTGTGTTTTTTGTTTCAGATGCAAAACACCAGCAAGACTTATTCTACTGAGTCACATTAGATATCCCCTTTATAATGTGCAGTGACATGTACGTACTGATGATTTTGCAGAATGTGAGAAACCGGCTGAACCATTAAAGACGAATAATCATGAAGAAGATAAATCTTTAGCCTGTTGTCGACTTGAGGAAATGAATCAGAGCAAAACAGCCGAAAGTGCAAACATGGTATCAAGCAGCATCAAACAGGGAAGTGTGTTCCAATAACAGATCCCCAAAGCAAAGACTTCATAATAAAGAGAGTGAGCAGGCCTTATCTGAGCCAGTGAAAAGGATACACAGATTACATAGACACAGGGAGGGAAATGTGTCCTGATTTCTTTCATCACAGTAATCACGCTGCAGGGGAGACCACCCAAGCCCCCCGCTTCCAACCCGCTCTTGTTCCCTTTATGCACACATTTGGTTAATCTGCAGAATTTATCAGAACATTTTAGAGCAGGCCGTGCCTCGCTCGAGGGCTCTCTGCAGGAGAGGAAGGGAGGACCGCTGCTCGTTCATTTTCACCAGCTGGTTCCTTCAGTAACAAGCCATGATTATACTCTGACCTTTAGGCCTCAGCGAATCTAAGCCGTGCAAATAAAAATACTCTTTGAGGATCCTAGACTGTAGCCCTACTCAGACTGCAGTTTAAAGCTACAATATTTACACCTTCAATCTCAAGGTGCGGAGTCGCATGTTGATAAGTTATCCAATCAGTTCAATCTGTTATGCAAAAAGCTTGTCATAGTTTGACAAGTGATGGTCCGTGCCTTGGCTCGCAACTGGCAACCACAGCTGCCGGTAATTTACCGTTAAATTGAAGTAGTTTCAATAAAGTACCATATTACAGTTTTACTGTGTTTATTACTGAGATAAACTGTATAAAGGTTTATAATATAACTGTTATTTTTACAGCAAATAACCGTATTCAGGTTTATAATATATATATGTTATTTTCATAGTAATTTACCGTAAATAAATAACAGTCGTCTACCGTAAAATTTACGGTTGCCCAAACAATATATCGAATGTCTGAGACATTGTCATCGTCTTTTTTACGGTAAATTTCTGGCAACCACAGCTGCCAGTATTTTACCACATAAACACACAGTTGGATGCATACACACACACACACACACACACACACACACACACACACACACACACACACACACACACACACACACACACACACTGCGCTGTGCTGCCCCGCTCTGTTATACCTTCTCTGACGGTACAGAGGGGGGATTACTTCATCCCCTCATTACACCTCTGCAACATTCAGATTGAAGTCGAAGCGTCACAGGAGCGTATAACATCGGGGTTTAAAGCGAAGTGATGACGACTGAGCTTAGCTACGGAACTTTTTGCAGAAAAAAAAAGCAGTCTGAAAAGGGTTTCTAATTCATGAACTCAGTTAGGTTTCAACCTCAG